CATTACTGTGAGTATCACTGCTTCGGAGCTCTCTTGTAGGCTCAGACACACCAACAATATAGAACTCCTAAATATGAGGGACATTAGGATAGAAAAGAAGGACAGGTGGATTGAAGCCCAAAATGAGGACTGTCCCTCCTAAATAGCGACACAGGGGAGATATGGTATTTCAACAGTGATATGAATTGTTGAGTCATTTCAGGCAGCCATTTGAACATAAATCTATGTAAACATTTATGGTCTTTTTTCCTGCATTTGTTACACAAATACCAAAAAAGATGTGATCACTACCCTCCCTAAGCAGGGGAAACCCTGAAATGCTGGAGCGAAGCTCCATCCTATTTCCCTCCTGAATGTGGACACAAAAATGTATGCAAAATGATTAGCTAATTGCCTAAGCCCTCTGTTGCAGTACTTGGTATCGGAGAAGCAGGCGCTGTTCGTGCCAGACAGGCAAGTAGGAGATAACACTGGGTGATTCCTTGACATCCTAGATATAGTGCAGAAAACTAAGACACTGGGCGTACTCTTGGCCCTAGATGCAAAACAGGCATTTGAGAGGATACACTGGCAATATATGTCCTCTATGCTGCAAAGATTTGGGTTGCAACACGGTTTCCTGAAGGGAATCCTAGAGCTTTATTCATAGCCTTCAGCAACAGTCTCCAACTCTGGTTTAATGTCCAGCAAATTCCATTTATGATAGGCAGCTAGGGCTGCCAATTATCTCCTCTCATCTTAATTCTTCTGGCATTTGAACTGTTGATACAACACATTAAATTCTACCCGGCAATCAAGGCTCTACCGACCCATAGTAAAGACCATTCTATAGCAATGTTTGTAGATGACATTCTGCTATTTTTATCGAATCTCATGGTGTCCCTGCCGAACCTCATAGATCCATTGGCTAGGTGTCCTGTGCATTACAAGTCGGGCTGGAGCAGAGGGCTAGATAAGCACTTCAGTCTAAATACATGTTTGATTGGCGAGAATCTTCGATTAAATATCTGGAAATTCAATTAACAAAATCATGCTGTACATTCATTTTAAAAAAACACCACAGAAATGATGGTGTGGCCCAAAATCCTCTACCTGTATCATACTATCTGTTGGCTGTCCAGGCCTCCCTTTTGCAACAATTCTAGAAATGTATGCTTACATGGGCCAAAGGCTAACATGGGCCATATGAACAAGGTTTAAGTTTATGTGGGCCACAAAAAAAAGAGTTCAGCCTAGACCAACCCAAACTAAAATTACTTGTATCATTCTCATGTAACCCAGGATTACAATATGTAATCCTGGGTACATATATATATACTTTACTGGAAAGCTTCACTTCAAGTTACTAACAATCCCCCCCAAATCCAATACACAGCTTCCCGTGGCCCTGCTCCCCCACTCTAATACACTGCTCCTTCCCCCCAATCTAATACACTGCCCCCCAGCCTAATGTTGTTCTCTCTCGCCTTGACTACTGCAAGCCCCTTCTCAGTGGTCTTAAGTGTTCCCAGATTGCACCGCTGCAATCTATAATGAATGCGGCGGCGAGGCTCATTTTCCTGTCCGCCCGCACCTCCCATGCCTCCCCCCTTCTGTCAGTCCCTACATTGGCTTCCAGTTAGATTTAGGGCTCAATTTAAGATGCTGGTGCTTGCTTACAAGTCCCTACATAATGCTGCTCCAACCTGCCTATTTTGCCTAATACAAAAGTATGTCCCGTCGAGGCCGTTGCGCTCTACCGAAGACCTACGTCTATTTTCTGTCCGTACTCTCACATCTGATGCTCGCCTCCAAGACTTCTCCAGGGCTGCACCTTTTCTGTGGAACTCCCTTCCCTTCTCCGTTAGACTTTCACCCAGTCTCCACTCCTTCAAAAAATCTTTGAAAACACACTTCTTCAGGAAAGCATATCATTTAAACTGTTAGCGGGTTTTTATTCCCCCACCCATGCCACCTCTCCTGCAAGTGTCAAAAATAACCTACTAAGTTTCCTGTGAATACTTTTTCTAGCAACCTCTTTCATTACGCCTACTTATACCCTTTGTGTCACTATACCCCACTCGCTCTAGCATGTAAGCTCATTGAGTAGGGCCCTCAGCCCCTTTGTTGCGGTGCTTCCACTTGTCTGGTTACAATTACGTGTCTGTTAGTCCACCCATTGCACAGTGCTACAGAATTTGCTGGCGCTTTGCTGGGCCACAAAGATACTCATTGTGGGCCGCATGTTTGACAGGCTTGGCCGAGGGTATCCTCTTGGACAATGTGGCTGCCCGCAGGATGGGGTGCTTTGGGAGTCCCTGTGTCAGGAGCTACTACCATGCCACCATAATATCTCAACTTTTAACTACCTTGTCCTCAGATACACCACCGATGTGGCTTTAGCTGGAGGATTCATTTGCAGCACCCTACACTAGTCATCAGTTAATGTGGGATCCCGCGATTATGTTTGAACGTTGGCTCTTTACTCCAGACCACTTAAGTCTCCCTTTCGGTATGGCACAGGTGGATTGGCAAACTATAAGGTTCCATAGCTAAATTCAGCTTGGACGCTTTGCAATTGTATACCTCGAATCTTAATTAAGGGTTTGGGTGAGACAAGTGGTAGCAAGGGTTCAACAGCTGTTGACTACTGGAGATGTCAAGAAGTTTCCAAATCTACAGGGGAAGCTTTCTTTGCCCAACAGTGAATTGATTACCTTCTTACAGATAAAAACATACTGAATACACAGAGGGCATGGATAGTGGAGGACTGTGCAAGATCCATAAATTATGCTTTGGCATTACTAGCTTTGCCAAATTTATGTCACACTGCTACAAACTCCAAACTTAATCCCCCAGAAATATTACCTTATCTACTGAGGAGGGAGGCAAAGCAGGGAAAGTTACTCCGGACTGCTGGATGGAAGCTATCTCCCACATAAGAGGTATCTCTCATAAAATCAATCACAGTAAACCTAAAGCAAACTGCTTATGCTGTGGTTCATGGTGCCCCAATGATTGGCCCTCATTTTTCCTGGGTCTTCTCCCAACTGTTGGCGGTGCCAACAGGAAAGTGGTAGTCTGTTACAAATCTTCTTTAAAAATATTTCAGCAGCATATTCAGTCTCTCATTGGCAGGGTGACTGGGGTCTTTTTTTTCCCTGGAACCAGAAATATTTCTACTAGATATGTTCCCGAAATCTCTGCATGGTGATATCCTATTTAAATACAACTAAACTATATGAGGAAATGACACATAGAATAGCAAACTCCTTACCGTGTCATGAAAAAATGTGGGCAAACTGGGACCGTGTTGACCACACAGTTCATAGTGATCAGTAGTTCCCCACATGTAACTGGTAGACATGTGCAATTTGTTTCGTTCCGAATGGAAATTCAGATGAATTTCAGGCAATTCAGACATTCAGATACTGAGCGGCGGGTGGGGGCCCTAAAGAAAAATAAGGGGGGGACGACCTATTGTCCTCCCTCCTGACCCCCACCTCTGAGCGGCGGGTGGGGACCCTAAATTAGAATAAGGGGGGGACCTATTGTCCTCCCCCCGGCCCCCACCCCTGAGCGGTGGGTGGGGGCCCTAAATATCAATAAGGGGGGGACCTATTGTCCTCCCCCCTGACCCCCATCCCTGAGCGGTGGCTGGGGGCCCTAAATTAGAATAATGGGGGGACCTATTGTCCTCCCCCCTGGCTCCCACCCCTGAGCGGCAGGTGGGGCCCTAAATACCAATAAGGAGGGGACCTATTTTACTCCCCCTCGGCCCCCCCCCGAGCGGTGGGTTGGGCCCTAAATACCTATAAGGGGGGGACCTATTGTCCTCCCCCTGGCCCCCACCCCTTTCGGTGGGTGGAGGCCTTAAATAAAAATGTAACCCCCCCCCAGGTGACTAGGGGTCCCCAAACCCCTAGTCACCTCCCTCCCCAAAAACATGAACCCCTACCTACCCCCCTCACCCTAAAAATAGTGAGGGGGACCAACTAGATGCTTGTAAAAAAAACAACAAAAAAACTCCTGTCTTCTTTCTTCTAAAATCTTCTTTTTTCAGCCCCAAAAAAAGGCCAAATAAATATCCATAATAACCGACGCACTTTGAAGAAAAAAAAAAGCGCCAAAAATAATCCATCTTCACCCATGGAGGGCTCCGTGCAGAATGAGCTCTGCAGGGCAGGGGAAGGCTTATAAAGCCTTGCCCCGCCCTGCAATTAGGCTCAGAGCACTCTGGTTGGTTGGTTTAAGCCATCCAATCAGAGTGCTCTGACAGGTAAATGAAGAGACTGACAGGTAAGTCTCTACATTTACCTGTCACAGCACTCTGATTGGTAAGCTTGAAATCCAGCTAATCAGAATGCTCTGTGTCATTTTACACAGCGTGGGAAAGTTTTTTGGAATTTAGGACCCCCATCCGCCGCTCAGGGGTGGGGGGTGAGGGGGGAGGACAATAGGCCCCCCCCCTATTTTACTTTAGGGCCCCCACCCTCCGTTCAGGGGTAGGGGCCGGGGGGGGAGAAATGGGTTTTTTTTTGTTTTGTTTTTTACAGTAAGCAGCCACAAGCAGCTCACTGTTTAGTACACATGCCCCTAATTTTTACTTAGTATTAGTAAATTTGGCTGAAAGACCAATTTAGGTCATTCAGCCTTTTTGTAGATAACTCCCTAATACCATGGGAATTAGGGAGTTATTTTCTAAGTGGCTGCAAGAGAAGTGCCAAAGTTCCAAAATTCCAAAGTGCCGAAGACAATAACATTAGTGAATTGGTAAATGTTGCATGTGCGCTGTTATTGTTATTTTATTTTGTTTTATCTTTGTCGTTTTCTTTTCTGTATCTGATTTTCTTTTTATAGAAAATGTAAAAAAAAAAATCATTCAAAAAGATATATTAACAACATCAAGGGCAAGTGCTTTCAATAGGGCAGGGCAAGCCTAAAGTGGTTGTGTATCTTGCTTGCAAAGTGGTCCCAGATTAAAATGGAATGAGCTAATACTGAGAATGTGAAAGGGCCTTCTTTTAACTCATTCATGACAGATTCCATACCTGGATATCATGTTAGATATTGTCCCTCCCCCTTGTTATACATTGTTTAGAGAGCTGTTAGGTTTATCTAAAACCTATTTAAATAGACTACACTATTTTTCTTAAACAGCTTGAGCCTGGTTTGACAAGAGGAATTGTATCTACTATTTCCTAGCACCATAAACACTACAACAAGCTGTAGCGGTTGTGGGGCTTGGAAAGTTCCTTTAGGCATTTGAATACTTACCTACACATTGTATATGTGTTATATGAATGAGAAATAAAATATTTATTTCCTGATTTATGAGATACTGTTTTAAAGACTTTCCATTTACTATAGCAGTTTATACCTCTGTTATTTACTGCCTAGGGATAAAGTCACCATCAGCCTTTGTCCGCAAAGTATTTGTATTGCACCACTCCATTTTAAAATCAGTGGAAATTTAGGAAAGCTCAGAGATATTACCAAGTAGCCTGTGTCATTAGGCTAATCAGAGTTTTAATAACTATAACTTTCGTAAGTAAACATGAAACAAAGTAAAAAAAACCAAAAACAATATTACAATGCAAAGTGAAATGGTACACAGTGCTGGCAAAACAATAAGGGGCAATCTAGAGCACATCAGCCCGGACACACAATGTCTGATTGAACAGCAGGCCTCCTGCTGGCTATTTTATGTAGCCTGGCCAAGTAGATCCCGATAGAGGATCTTTTGTATACTCTGGGAGCAGTGTGCAGCTCGTGTCAGAACAGGTAGAGCGCAGCCACACTGCATTACAAAGGGAAAGTAAGAAAGCAGTGAGCATAACAGGAGGGGAGAGGGGGGAAGAGACCACAAAGGGGAGAGGCGGAAGAGACCAGAAGGGGACACTGAGGCACTGGGAGGGAAGAAACATTCAGAGTGGCTGGGGGAGGGGGGGGGGAAGAGACACACAAAGGGGCTGGTGCTAGTAAAAGATACACAGAAGGGCAAGGGGGGAGAAAGACATACAGAGGGGCTGGGAAATGGGAGAAAGGGAAACATAAAAGAGGCTGGGGAGAAAAAGTGTGATGGAACTCTCGTATCTGACTAAGTACATCCACCAAGTCAGCTTCCTAACCATGGAACCATGGAACACTTCAGCCCCAGTCACTAATGCTTGTCTGGGGTCGCTGAGAACTTCTTCCTTCCTATACCAGGCTACTAGGCTGCAGCTCTCTTCTTCCAGGTATCATCCCATTTGCCTCTTCAGTTCCTCTCCCAGAAAGGTACCTACACCTTGGTTGAGACTGTGATCAGCTACTGCCTTTACAAAGGCACTTGTGACTCTGAGGCCTAGCTCCCTGTTTAACTTGTCCCAGGATACAAATACAAAGCAGCCAGCCAACAGGTCTGGAGATTCTGCTGAGATCGATGAATAAATCAACCAGGACTAGCCTTTGACAACTTGTCCTTAAAAATAGCATTTAAAATACAAATATACAGAACAATAGAGAATGAGCAATTATAATTAATACATGAACCATACAATACAAGTAACATTTTAACAATATATACAATATACTCCTTATTTGGTTGCACTCATTTGCATACCAGCATTACGTAAATGTACACATTTCTATTCAGTGAGTAGAAGGAGCTGCAGAGTTATCAACTAACAAACAATGCATAGTCACAAGCTAGTTTTGTGGTGATTCTTCACAAAGAGATATACAAAAGAGGCTAGGGGAGAAAGTGACACAGAGGAAAAGGAGAAAGAGAGCAGCTGGAAGAAAGAGAAACTCAGATGGGCTAGGAAAGGGTAGAAAGAGATATACAGAAGGGCTGGGGGGGAAGAAACACACAGAGTGGTTGGGGGGATGGAGACATACACAAGGGCTGAGGGAAAGCGATACACAGAAGCGCTGGGGGAAAGACACAGAGAGGGGCTGGGTGGGGAAAGAGACACAAAAGAGGGTGGGGCAGAACGAGACACACAGAAGAGAAAGCGGGGGAAAGAGACACTCAGAGAGGCTGGGGAAGAAAGAGACACGCATAAGTGGTCAGGAAGAGGAAAAAGAGAATCACAGAGGGCTGTGGGGGCAGAGAAAAGGTGCTGTGGGGAAAGACACATGAGTTGGCCTGACACACAAAAGGGGCTGGGGGAGAAAGAGGCACACAGATGAGATGGGGTTAGGGAAAGGAGACACACAGAAGGGAGAAGGAGAAGGAGGAAAAGAGGCACATAAAGGGGATGGAGAAAGGGAGAGAGAGGCAAAGGGGTTGGGTGGGGGAGGGAGAAAAAGACACACACAGGGGCTCAGGAAGGGGAAAAAGAAACACAGAAGGACTGGGGCATAGAAAATGTGCTGGGGGAGAGACAGACAATACAGCCTGGGTAGGACACACACAAAAGGATCTGGGGGAGAATGATACACACAGAGGGTCTGGGAAAGGGGAAAAAGAGAAACAGAGGGGCTGTGGCAGAGAAAATTTGTTGGGGGAGAGACACACAAAATGGCCTGGGGAAGAGACAAAAAAGGGGGCTGGGGGAGAATGAGACACACAGAAGGGATGGGAAGGGAAAAAAAGAGAAACACAGAGGGACTGGGGGCAGAGAAAATGTGCTGGGGGAGAGACACATGAGTTGGCCTGACACACAAAAGGGGCTGGGGGAGAAAGAGGCACACAGATGAGATGGGGATGAGGAAAAGGAGACACACAGAGGGGTTGGACAAGAGGAAAAAGAGGCACATAAAGGCGATGGGGAAAGAGAGAGAGAGGCAAAGGGGCTGTGGGAGAAAGAGACAAACAAAGTGATGAAGGGAAAGGTTACACAGAGGGGCTGAGGGGAAAAAGAGACATACACAAAGGGGGGTTGTAAGAAAACACGGGAAAATTAGGGATAAAATATACTAAAGGGAGGTGTAAGACACAAAAGGGGATAAGATCCACTAAAGGTGGTAAGACATTTAAAAGAGAGGGTAATCAACACTGAAGGGGGGTTAAGAGACACCCAGATAAATATGCATTTTGTTGGGGGAAGAAGAAGCACGGCAAAATGCATCTTTGCCTCTATAGCCAAAAATCCTTGCACAAGCCCAGACGGTACTCTATGACAATTACCTGGTATGGACTTTGTATCACATTAAATAATATGTAATGCATCTAATTCTACACTATACCGCACGTGAGAACCAGAGAATAATAATAAATATATACCTAATAATGATAATAACGCTAGATATTATGTGATGAGATCTGCCTAGAATCTTTTTACACATATTAATACAGAGGGAATGCCTTTATAAGTTCCATGTGCAATCTTTGCTAAATTTGGCACGTTTAATAATCAGAAGGGATGCCCTTTTTTTCAGTTTCCCAGGCCGGGTGTGAAATATGTATGATGCACAGGGTGGTGTGCTGTATATTTAGAATACGACATCGTCATTTCACCATCCATTGAGGACGGGTGTCAGGCATAGGTCATAAACTGTCCAGGCAACTTGCGTCACTAGTGATGTGGGAGCAACTTATGACTTAACTCCTGTATTGCTGCTCTCAATGGCGAGATAATGAAAGTCTGTATGGAGTTAGGGGGGAGTGACAATATTACAGAAAAAGGAAGGAAGTATGACATATGGTGAGATCGGGAGAGAAATACAGAAAAAAAGAAAGTTAGTTTAGAAAGAGAGGGGCATCTGTGTAGACTGTGGAAACGTCACAGAGAGGGAAGAGAGGGAAATAAGCAAGCAGGAAGCTACAGGCAGTATGTGAATGGAATACAGGCAAGCAGGAATATAGAAACTGAATTTGAGATAGAGCAATTATTCTAACAGTGGTTAAATTGTCATGGAAACCAATGGTTCCTGCCAGTTACTCTGTTTTTTTTTTTTTTTAAACCTTTCCCTATCAATCTGCTTTATAAGTGGCTCCCACAAAATATCACACGTTAAGTTGGGGAAAATAATGTAATGAATTATTGGTTTATAAACAAAATATATAACAAATTATTATTTAAAATATATATATATTCTTATTATTTTATTTTATACTTGCAAGCATATTGTTGCAGGGCTGCATGACAGCGGGAAATAAATAATATGTATACTGAAGACAAACACAGTTAGGTATACCTAAACAAGATACGATGAGGGTCTGGCTCAAATGAGCTTAGTCTTTAGGATGCGCAGTACTATTACTCAAAAAGTAAAAATGCAAAGTGTCCACAAGGAAGATAAATGCTGGGTGTACTATCCCTATCCAGGTGCATTACTCATATAAGTTATATGACATATGCAGGAGCTGTGGAGTTAGAAAGGTCAGAGAAATGTATGTGACATAGACAATGGTTGTTGTGTCTGACAGTAAGAAGCATCAGAGCAGACAGTGGTGGTGGGGGGGGGAGAGGTGGAGGGTGGGAGAGGGGAGTTGTATCAGATTCAAAAGGGGTGAATTGCTGCTTCAAGTACTTTTTTATTTTTCCGAAAGGTCTAGAACTTGGTGTGTGTAAGGTATTCCATAAAAATGGGAAAGCACGTGAAGAGTGTTATGAGCACAAGCTCAAGCTAGTGATGAAAGAATAGCAAGCTGTTTGGTTGAACATGGTAATTAGAGAGGTTGTTGTGTAGGTATGAGTAGCACATATGGAAAGCATTATGAAAATGAGACCCATCATTTTGATTGAATCATATTTCTATGTGATTGCTGGAATCCAGAGTTAATATTGACAGAAGACGGTATGAAAGTACATGGCAACAAGCTTGTTGGGTAGGTCAAAGGTTTGTAGCATTGACACAAAGGGGATGATTGACGAAGGAGCTACCTAAAAATTAGAGGGGCTTTAGCCCTCAGTTACTTAAATTCAAAGAAAGACAATAGTAGCTAAAATTAAAAATAATTTTAAAAAAATTGTACATTAATAGCTCATTTGAGCAGAACCTAACTTTTGTCTGTTAATATAACTTTTGTCTGGCAATTACTTATTGTTAAATATCCCCATTGTATCATGACAGGTGTATAGTCGCCATTTTGGGCAGTCGGAATCCAGGACAACCACCCCATAACCCAACCCAATAACGCACATACTAGAGGATATGGGGAAATATGTCCACAGCTTTATTTAGCAAACAATAATAATAACAATAATAATCATAATAATAACTTAACAAGTAAACATGGGTCATTGCCCCCCATACTCCGCCCTCGCATCCTATTCCTTCCATTAACATATAAAGGGCAATGACCCCCATATAAATAAACATATATATATAACATACATCAACATTATTCCAATCGATGTAAAGTGCCAACCATCCATTAACCACGGCAGGGGTATACCCGGATACCCCTACCCCACCAGGTTCTGAGCCACCGACAGGACTCGAAACCTATCAACCACCAATGACCACCACTTGTTTGTCTTCCATTACGTTCATCCTGGGGAGCCTATTTCCTCTCCTTCAGCTCCCCGTCCCGCCGCTGTGAAAAAACGGGACAAAACCACACATAACAAAACAGGGAGGGTGGGTGGGACAAACTTAACCAGGTAGGAAGTTAAAATGAATTAACTAAAATGGCTGCCCATTTAAATAACCAAACCCACTTACCCATAACTCCACTCCCTTGCTTACTTCCTCCTAGGCCCACCTCCTAACCCCTGTCAAGGCCTTTTTCCGCTTAGCTGCGCTTGGCTACCTGGGGCTACATGACAGGTGTATAGTCGCCATTTTGGGCAGTCGGAATCCAGGACAACCACCCCATAACCCAACCCAATAACGCACATACTAGAGGATATGGGGAAATATGTCCACAGCTTTATTTAGCAAACAATAATAATAACAATAATAATAATAATAATAACTTAACAAGTAAACATGGGTCATTGCCCCCCATACTCGGCCCTCGCATCCTATTCCTTCCATTAACATATAAAGGGCAATGACCCCCATATAAATAAACATATATATATAACATACATCAACATTATTCCAATCGATGTAAAGTGCCAACCATCCATTAACCACGGCAGGGGTATACCCGGATACCCCTACCCCACCAGGGTCTGAGCCACCGACAGGACTCGAAACCTATCAACCACCAATGACCACCACTTGTTTGTCTTCCATTACGTTCATCCTGGGGAGCCTATTTCCTCTCCTTCAGCTTCCCGTCCCGCCATAAGTTCAGACCTTGACCCCTTAAGCCGTCTGAGCTCCGCCACCCCGAAGAAACAGCGCCCGCTGCATACCAACCTGCCAACCCAAGTTGAGCAGATCCCAACCCACCTCCGAAAGGTGAACCCCGTCCGAGCGGTAGTACCCCGGCAACCCCTCCTCCAACTCGCTGTGCCGTACCACCACACCTCCCATCTTCCTAACGAAGCTCACCATTAAGCTGTTCACCTTTTTCCTGCAGTGATCAATCGCCACCGGATCCCGCGCGTGCCGCCATCGACGCCTTGGGACAATCTCCGACCACACTAACATAACCCCCGGAAGCAGGTCCCTCAATTTGTTGATGTCCTGCTTCATCCACTCTACCAACCGACGTTGTGGCGTGAGGCCCAAGTCGTTACCCCCAGCATGAAGGACCACCATGTCCGGTGTCCTCCCGCCCACCACCATCCTAAACATTGCCCCACAAACCTTCCCCCAGCAAAATCCCCTGTACCCAAACCATCGGACTGTCAACTGGTCCTTCGGAAAGCCCAGCTGCTGGCCCTGCATTCGAGCTGCGGCCCTCCTCTCGGCCCAGAAGACAAAAGAATGTCCCACAATCCAAGCAACCCGTCCTGGGGAGAAGAAGAAAACAAGCATGAGGGAAAGGCAAAAGAGGACTCCTCCGTCCATGTCCACCCCCGCACCATATCTATACATACACATATATAAACATATACCTACCCAGACATGTACCTTTTTTTTTTTTTTTTTTATTCCAATAAGCCCAACCGCACATATGAGCGGAACCGCACCGACTCCCATCTCCCTAAGCGCTTCACGACCTCATCTCCTAATCCCAACCGTGCGGCCTCCGTGGCCGCCCCAATGCGAAAGGAGTGAGTACCAAAACGTCCGGCCGGAAGCCCCAACTTACCTAGCCCGGCCCGAAAAACCTTTGTAAACTGAAACCGGGACAGGGAAGAACCATCCGCATGTACCAAGAAGGAACCCCCCACCGCCGGCCTCCGAGCCATGTACTACTGCAGTTATCACAATAATGTTGCGCCCCGGTAGAGCTCATAGCGAACGCCTTTACCACGCTTAATGACGCCCGGTTTTAGAAATTCAATTTGTGATGCACAAACTACCTACTCTAAAACACGGTAACTCCTTGAGGCTTGCAGACCTCGGTACTCAACACTTACTGGTACTTCGCTACCAGTTTCACGCTGAACGCCAAAATGCCAAGAGAAAAGCGCTTGAACAGAGAGACTTCAAACCTGCGGAAATAAATTTCGCAAATCACCTACCAGATCTCTACTCGTATTAATACATACCGGGCTTAGAGTTACAGGTAAGGCCCTGCGTTTCTTTCGAGCAATTCCTCTTCAGCGCTGCCGTATTTAGGGAAGGTTTTAGTTGTATCTTCTTCCGCTTCGGCGCTTACTGAACGTAGAACGCTTATTGCCGCCATGGACCTGTCGACCACTGCCGGGGACGCCCCCTTTGCCAGCAATTGGCAGGTGTACCATAGAAAAGCGTCCCGCAGCGCATCCCCACGTAAGCCATGCTCCAACCCGTCTAATGATCGTTCCCAAGAGTCCCAGACCTTACTGTAGGAGGCCCATGTGGCCGGTGCCAGTGAAGCCTTCACAAGTCCCCCAAGCAGGACGCTCCCAGCTGCCATATCTCGTCCGGGCAAGCTTCCCCTTCCTTCAATGCTCCTGGCGCCATCGACCAAAATCGGGACCACTGAAAACGAGACAGAGCGTCAGCCACCTCATTCAGGTACCCAGGGACATGACGCGCGCGAAACACAACATTCCGTGACATACACATCAACACAAAGCGCCGCAGCAACCTAGCCACCGGCTTAGAGGCAGCCGATTGATTATTCACCGCATGCACCACCGCCATGTTGTCCGAGAAAAAGACCACTTTCTGGTCCCGGAGCCCCTCGCCCCATAGTGCCATTGCAACGACCAACGGGAATAATTCCAGAAAAGCCAGGTTGCGCATGACTGGGCTAGACCCCCATGCCTCCGGCCACCGCTCCGTGCACCATCTCCCGCCAAAGTAGGCCCCGAAGCCCACACTACCCGAAGCATCCGTGAAGAGCTCCAACTCCGCCGCCGACTTACCCGCCCGCCTGAAAAACACCGTCCCGTTGAACTCCTGCAGGAAGGCATCCCACACGCCCAAATCAGCCCTCATGGTTGCTGACACCCGTATGAAATGATACGGGGATCGAACTCCTGCCGTAGCAGCCGCCAGGCTGCGGCTGAAAACCCTCCCCATAGGAATTACACGGCATGCAAAGTTCAGCATCCCTATTAGCGACTGCAGTTGCCGCAGCGTAACTTTGCGCGCAACGGTCACCGCAGCTACCGCCCCCTTGAGCCCCTCCAATTTGTCCCGAGGCAGTCGGCATTCACCCAAGATAGAATCTATTTCTAACCCCAAGAAACTAAGGCACGTCGTCGGGCCCTCCGTCTTATCCGCTGCCAGCGGCACCCCAAAGTGGCCCGCCACCCATTCCGCGGTCCTAAGCAGTTGCTGGCATGCCGAGGAGGCAGCCGGCCCCACGCAAAAGAAATCGTCCAGGTAGTGCACCACCGAACGGTTCCCCGCCTCGACCCGCACCACCCATTCGAGAAAAGTACTAAATTTCTCGAAATGGGAGCATGAAATCGAACAGCCCATAGGGAGGCACAAGTCCACGAAATATTTTCCCTCGAAAAAACATCCCAACAGGTGGTGGCAGTCCGGGTGGACTGGCAGCAGCCGAAATGCCGCCTCAATATCCACTTTTGCCATAAGTGCCCCATGCCCGGCCCGTTTAACCAGCTCGACCGCCCGGTCGAATGATGCATACGAGACCGAGCATAGGTCCTTATCAATACCGTCATTCACCGACTCCTCTTTTGGGTAGGAGAGGTGGTGAATGAGCCGGAATTTCCCCGGCTCCTTCTTTGGCACCACCCCAAGAGGGGAAACCCGTAGGTCCTCCAATGGGGGCACCGCAAACGGGCCCGCCATCCGCCCCAGCGCAACCTCCTTGTCTAGTTTCTCCCATACCACCTCCGGGAAATCAGCCACCGACTTCAGGTTGCGCAACCCCCCCGAACCCCCCCGCTCCCGGAAGGGAATAAAGAAACCCCGCCCGAAGCCTTCCCTAAGTACCGAGGCATCAGACCTGTTACCGTAGCGGCTTAGCCACGGCTCCATCGCGTCTAGCCTCACCGGCGTGAAGCCCCGGGGCAGGGGAAGCATTCCCTCCGGCCCCGGCAGCCGCTCCGGCTGTTCCCGCCTTCCCTTTTTTGAAACAGCGATTGAGCCCATGAGCACCCCCGCAACCGGAGCACTCATGCTTAAATTGACACGCGTTTCCCCATTTGCACTGGCCCTCATTGTAGAGCCAGCAGAAGCCCTTTTGCAAAGCGGCCGACGAGGCGGACTGCCCCTTCGCGCCGGCCGAGTTTGGAAAGGGCTGCGCCTTCTGGGCCATCATTAGCTTCATCCTGAGGGGCAGATCCATCTGATCCCACCTCATCCCCGGGTTAGCCGCCAGTCGCTGCCTAAACTGTTCATCGTATCGCCACCATGCCAGCCCCCCATAGGTGCGATATGCTTCCCAAATGCCGTCCAGGTAGCAGAACAGGGACGAGCATAATCCCGGCGATTTTTCCCCAAGCACGCTGGCTAGCACGCAAAACGCCCGTAACCAGTTGCCAAAGGATTTCGGAATCTTGCGATACCGCTTCCTCTTCTCCTCCTCCTCCTTCTTTTCATCCTTTTTATCCTCCTCCTTGAGGTCAATAAAGTCCTCCAAGGGGAGCAGGGAGAAGATCTCGCAGAACTCACCTTTCCAGAGCTTCTCTTTCACGTCCTGTTTCAGATGAACCCCCAGGGGGCCCGCAAACGAGACGTATGCGTGCTGCTCGCTGCATCCGGAATACCCCCGGCCAGTTCCGCCTTGTCACCCCCGGCCGCCATCGCCTCGGGCGCCACCCCCACGTCCCCGCCTGAACTAAGCCCCACGGAAACCCCACTAGGACCAGGGACCTCCGTCCCCGGGGCCCAAACCCGACCAACGCCACCCCCCGTGTCACCCCCCGCCCCCAGCGAGTGGAGCAGTGCTTGCAGTGTGCTAACCAAGGAACTGGAGTGTAGTGACCCACAAGACTCACCGGCCAAGCCCCCTGCAACTGATGCGGCAGGGGCTGCGTCGTCGACTGCCCGATGTCCAGGGAGAGCGACTCCCGCCGATACCTCGCCAACCGGGGAGCCAAACCGGTGCCTTGCCCGTGTCGATATGGAACAGCTCCGTGACCTGGAAAGAGGAGAAGAAGTCCTGGGTAGGGTGCACTGAGTATTCGCATCCCCCCCCGTCTCGACCCTGGGAGCGCCTGCCCATTGCCAAAGCCTCCCGCTGTGCCCCCTGTACACGCCGCGCGCGGGAGCCCCTAGGGCTACGGCTCCTCCTGTTTTCCCCGGGCATACGTCCCCGCCGACCACCCCTGGGGACGCTAGACCCGCTCTCTCCCGAGCTCCCTGACCTAGAGCGGCGCTGCCGGGACCTCCCCCTCCTCCCCCTCTCCCCCGTGGCTCTACTTCCCGAACCGGAGAGGGACTACCACTACAGGACCCTGAACCGGACCCCCCCCCCTACTACCCTGCACCCCCAAACGCTCACCCCTCCGGCTAGAGCCCGACCCCCCACCTGAACTGGCTCCCAGACTAAGGGGACCTAGACCCCCCCTCAACCAGACTGGCCCCCCCAACCCCTAAACCAGGCCTACCCGACCCTACCCGCACCGGCCTAGCCCCAGAGCCCAAGGAGGCCCCCTTTCCCCTACTGGGGGAGCCCAGCAGTCCCTCCTCACCCACAGCCCCCCCACCCCTGCCACTACTCCCCCCACCTATGACCCCTATGCCCTCCCCATCCACCACCCGCGGTCCCTGGGAGGCCTTCCCACCCCCCACTTGGGCCCTCCGCCCTCCGCCCCCTGACAGGACCCCCCCAGCACTTTTCCCGCCAAGAGGGCCCCGGCCGGAGCCCCCTGCACTTGCCTTTGGGGCCGGGAACCGGCCACGTGTCCTCCCGGTCCCGGCCCCGTCGATCTCCGCCTCCGACGGGGCGCGCGCCCTCCCGGGCCGCAGCTCCATGCTGCCCGCTCCTCCAGGGGACCGCCCGGCCACGTCCGACCCGGCAGCCGCGACGGCCCCGTCCCGACCGTCCCCCCGGCGCCGGGCACTGGTCCTAGGCTCCGGCCGCTCGCGGGGAGGCGGGGCCTCTACCACGCGGCTGCCGGGCCTGCTGCCGCCCGCACCGGAGCCTCCCGGACCACCAGGGATGTCTTCACCGGGTCCCACACCCGGGCTTAGCCGCTCCGGAGGCCTCCTGGCCCGAACAGGCCGTCGTCCGCCGCCGTCCTGGCCCTCCGCCGCCGCCAGGGCCGGGCCTAACTGGGCCTTCAGCCAGTCAGCCCCCTGGTGCCTCGCCGCCGACCGGATCCGCTCCAGCAGTCGCTCCACTTCATCCATCGGCCCTGCAGGGAGACAAAAAGGAAAAAGCCCTACCAAGCCAAATCTGTGCCCACAGGAGCGAACACAAACTTAACCAGGTAGGAAGTTAAAATGAATTAACTAAAATGGCTGCCCATTTAAATAACCAAACCCACTTACCCATAACTCCACTCCCTTGCTTACTTCCTCCTAGGCCCGCCTCCTAACCCCTGTCAAGGCCTTTTTCCGCTTAGCTGCGCTTGGCTACCTGGGGCTACATTCTAAAGTGTTGTGAAAAAATGTTGGCACTACACAAATGCAAATAGAAATGATTGCTCCTAAAACTGTTCTGAATGACTCACCCAATAAACTCAGTGAGATAAATGTATTTATATAATAATAGTTGAAAAGGCACTCTCAGCACCACAAAAATCAGAATTCAATGAAGATAACATCTTTATAAAATACTCACATTGACTGTGTTGGAATTTTAACACAGTCAAAAGATACCACAAGACAAAACAGAGACTACTTTGTCTTAATATTTTTCTTACACTTGACAGAAGGTGTAGCCCACCTTTATAAAGTTTTGTCGGTTCCCCCAACTGTAATTAGTAATGGCTGGAGGTAAAAAGGTTCTGTCTTTGCAGGCTCCAGGAGCTGAAGAGGATAAACAGGAACAATGGCCGCAGCTGCAATAGATAGAAACATAGAAACATAGAATGTGACGGCAGATAAGAACCATTCGGCCCATCTAGTCTGGCCAATATTTCAAAATACTTTTAATTAGTCCCTGGCCTTATCTTAAGTCTAGGATAGCCTTATGACTATCCCATGCATGCATAAACTCCCTCACTGTGTTATCCTCTACCACTTCAGCTGGATTGCTATTCCATGCATCCACTACCCTCTCAGTAAAGTAATACTTCCTGATATTATTTTTAAAGCTTTGCCCCTCTAATTTAAGACTATGTCCTCTTGCTGTGGTAGTTGTTCCTATTTTAAATATAGTCTCCTCCTTTACTGTGTTGATTCCCTTTATGTATTTAAATGTTTCTATCATATCCCCCTGCCTCGTCTTTCCTCCAAGCTATACATGTTAAGATCCTTTAACCTTTCCTGGTAAATGTTATCCTGCAATCCATGAACCAGCTTAGTAGCCCTTTTCTGAACTCTTTCTAGAGTATCAATATCCTTCTGAAGATACGGTTCCCAGTACTGCATACAATACTATAAGTGAGGTCTCACCAGTGTTCTGTACAATGGCGTGAGCACTTCTCTATTTCTTCTGCTAATACCTCTCCATATACAACCAAGCATTCTGCTAGCATTTCCAGCTGCTCTATTACAGTGTCTTCCTACTAGACATGTGCAATTTGTTTCGGTCCGAATATGAATTCGGCAGAATTTCAGGCAATTCGGACATTTGGGTACTTCCGAATGTCTGAATTGCCGAAGTGCCGAATTGCCGAGGTCCCGAAGTTCCGAAATTACCAAATTACCGAAGTGTCGAAGTGCCGAAGTGCTGAAGTTCCGAAGTTGTCGAAGTTCCGAAGTGTCAAAGTTCCGAAGTGTGAAAGTGCCGAAGTTCCGAAGCACAGTATTGCCTAAGTACTAATATACTTACCCAGTGAAAGGAGAATGTAACATTGTATACAATTTTAAATAAAAAGTATACAAACATAGCCAGGATTCAGCTGTAAGCATTTGCAACACTTACAACAATCAAGTAACATACATTCATATAAAATGTAAGTTACTTAGCCAGTCAGTGTAATGACAGGAATGAATAAGTAGATATCTCCCTAATTCCCACGATATTAGAGAGCTATCTACTAGAAGGCTGTAAGACCCAAATTGGTCTTTCAGCCAAATTTACTAATACTAAGTAAAGATTACTTAGTATTAGTAAATTATGCCCCTACTCGCTATACTGCGAGTAGGGGCATGTCTATTAACCCCTTAAGGACGAGTGACGGACGAGGTCCGTCACTCAGGGGAAACCCTTAACGAAGAGTGACGGACCTCGTCCGTCACGCGGTAAAATTAACCCTGGATCGCCGCTACTGCGGCGATCGCGGGGTTAATGGTGCTCCGGTATGCCTCTGCATTAGAGGCATACCGGGAGCACCCGGTCAGGCTGCCCCAGCATATGTGGTCGCTCTGACCACAAGTCAGAGCGAGCACATGTGCTCTGTATACTCACCTACCGGCTCCCTGCACTTCCGGGTTCTGTGTGAAGTGCAGGGAGCCGGATCAGTGCTGATCCTGCCCCCTGCTGGAAAAAAAAATAAAGTTTATTTAAAGTCCCCCCCCCTTACCCATTTTAATAAAAAATTAACCCCTTCCCTGCCAATTGATCACTGACTACAGTGATCAATTGGCAGGGATTACATTTTACTATGATCTGATTTTTTTTTTTTAACCCCTGAGGGTTAATTCATTTTTTTTAACCCTCAGGGGTTAAATTTATTTAATTAATTAATTAAAATATTTTAAAATTATATATTTAGCTAGCTGGGGTGGGTGGAAGTTAGTGGGGAATTGGGGGATTTGGCGTTAGGCTAACTAGGGGTTAACGTTAAAAAAAGTTTTAAAATAACCTTTAAAAAGTAAAAAATTAAGCTTAAAAAATGTTTTAATAACGTTTAAGTAAAAAAAAAACCCTTTACCTAGTCCAAATAAAAATTAACCCCTTCCCTGCCAGTCGATCACTGCCTACAGCGATCAAATAGAGATCACAGTATTATACTGTGATCTAATTTTTTTTAACCCCTGAGGATTAACTTTTTATTTATTTTTTAACCCTCAGGGGTTCAATTTATTTAATTAATTAATTAAAATATTTTATAACTATGTATTTTGCTAGCTGGGGTGGGTGGGAGTTATGGGAAAATGGGGAATTTACTGTTAGTGCTGCGTACTGCTAGTTAGGGGTTAACAGTAAAAAAAATAGCTTAGAAAAATGTTAAATCTGTAAAAAAGTTTTAAGAAAGTTTAGGAAAGTTTAAAAAAAATTTATAAGCAAAACAAAAGTTTAAAAACTAGTTTTTAAAAGTAAAAAAGTTATAAAAAGTAAAAAAATACATTTTAAAAACGCTCATTACCACTACACCTGGAACAAACTAGAGAAAAAATTATCCCACGCCAAGGTTCAAAATATGCCTTTTGAATTACCCCAGGGTGTATTCTTTAATAAATAGTATGTGTTTGTGGGGAAGTTTCAATAACCAACCGTCTAAACTACTCCAAATTGGAACATGGACACAGCGTAAAACTTCAAAGTTAGAAAAAAACTGAATGGCTGCGTCTCAAATGCGCCCCTTCAGCATCCACATATACCTGGCAAAGGTACATACGGGGGTATTGCTGTACTCAGCCGACATAGCTGAGCAACATATGAAGTATTATACAGTCATAGCACACATAAGGTTTGCAAAATATGTTGAACAAACTCACTTTGTATGTCAAAAAGGCAGAAAAAATGCTTATTACCACTACACTTGGTACAAGCTAGCGGAAAAATTATCCCACGCTAAGGTTCAAAATATGAATTTTGAAATACCCTGGGATGTCTTCTTTAAGAAATGGTATGGCTTTATGGGGAATTTGGATTATATAGCCTGGTAAAATACTCTAAAATGGGACATAGGCACAGCATAAAAATTCAAAGTTTGAAAAAAACTGGAATGGCTGTGTCCCAAATGTGCCCCTCCGATGTCCACACATACCTGGCAAAGGTACATACGGGGGTATTGCTGTACTCAGCCGACATAGCTGAGCAACATATGAAGTATTATACAGTCGTAGCACACATAAGGTTTGCAAAATATACTGTGCAAACTCACTTGTATGTCAAAAAGGCAGAAATGGGATGTCTTCTTTAAGAAATGGTATGGCTTTATGGGGTATTTGGATTATATAGCCTGGTAAAATACTCTAAAATGGGACATAGGCCCAGCGTCAAAATTCAAAGTTTGGTAAAAACGGATATGGCTTGGTCTCCTATATGGCACTGTAGCTTCACGAAATAGTGCCAAAGACATTCATTAGGGGTGTCTTTTTACTCAGAAGACTTAGCTGAGCATAATTTGGGAGGTTTGAACTTAGTGGCACATATGAAATATACAAAACGCCCAGCAAAAATGCAATCCGTATGTAAAAAATGCACAAAATAATTTTTTACCACATACTTTGGCATATATTGGTGAAAAAATGGGGGTATGTTAAGGCACAATATGCACCTTATAAGATACCCTGGAGTGTCTCCTTTTACAAATGGTAGGCCTTTGTGGGGGTTTTTTGAACAGTCAAACTGTTATAATACCCCAAATGGAAGCTAAGGCTCATTAAATCCATCTCTCAAAATTCTACTGTGAATACTGTAAAGGACAGGTCTCCTATATGGCACTGTAGCTTCACGAAATAGTGCCAAAGACATTCATATGGGGTGTCATTTTACTCAGAAGACTTAGCTGAGCATAATTTGGGGGTTTGAACTTAGTGGCACATATGAAATATACAAAACGCCCAGCAAAAATGCAATCCGTATGTAAAAAATGCACAAAATTATTTTTTACCACATACTTTGGCATATATTGGTGAAAAAATGGGGGCATGTTAAGGCACAATATGCACCTTATGAGATACCCTGGAGTGTCTACTTTTACAAATGGTAGGCCTTTGTGGGGGTTTTTTGAACAGTCAAACTGTTATAATACCCCAAATGGAAGCTAAGGCTCATTAAATCCATCTCTCAAAATTCTACTGTGAATACTGAAAAGGACAGGTATCCTGTGTGGCACTGTAACTTCACAAAATAGTGCCAAAGACATACAATGGGGGTGTCATTTTACTCAGCAGATGTAACTGAACACAAAATAAAACTTTGTACAGGAATAGCACACACCAACTTTACAAAATATACACTAGAATTTCTTTGTTATAAGTTTGTGTGCCAGAAACCAAAAAAAACACAATTTTACTCCAATATTTAGCAGAGATTGGCGGTGAAATGGCTACGTAGAAAGTGTCAAAACAACCTTAGGTAAATAGCCCGTGATGTCTACTTTATATAAATATATACTTTTGTGTGGCAATTTTGTTTTCTTTTATGGCTATTAAGCTTACAAGACAAACATACCAAATTCTAAAATCGCTCCACATTAAAAGTCTATTTTACTCCTTGTGCTTTGTGACCTGTAACTACCAAAAAAAACTTAAAATCCCAGACACATTGTATATTCTGTAAATCAGAACAACTAAATTAATTTATTTTTAATTACTTTTCTTAACCTGCACTAATTATGCACACATTATTATTGCAAAAACTGTAAAAAAAACCACAAAATTTTCATTTATTTTACATTTTTCTGTATTTTTTTATAATAAATAAGCATTTATATATATGTGTGTTACATCAAATTAAAGCCCTTTCTGTCCTTTAAAAAACGATGTATAATATGTGTTGGTGCAACAAATAAGTAAAATGCAAATTGCAGTTGAACGCAAACAGCAAAAAATGAAAAAAATGCTGTTGTCATTAAGTGAAAGACAAGCTTTTGAAGCTCTGTCCTTAAGGGGTTAAACAGTGAGCAGCCTTAAAAAATAAATAAAAAATAAGGTCCTCCCCCCTGGCCCCCACCCCTGAGCGGTGGGTGGGGGCCCTACAGTAAAATAAGGGGGGGGACCTAATGTCTTCCCCCTGGCCTTGCCCCGCCCTGCAATTAGGCTCAGAGCATTCTGATTGATGGGTTTAAGCCAACCAGAGTGCTGTGACAGGTAAATGTAGAGACTTATCTGTCAGTCTCTTCATTTACCTGTCACAACACTCTGATTGGATGGCTTAAACCCACTAATGCTCTGAGACTAATTGCAGGGTGGAACAAGACTTTAAAAGCCTTCCCCCGCCCTGCAGAGTTCAGTCTGCGTGGAGCCCTCGCCAGGTGAAGATGGATTTTTTTTTATAATTGCGTCGGTTATTATGGTTTTTTATTTTTGGGGCTGAAAAAAGAAGATTTTAGAAGAAAGAAAACATTGAATGGTAAGTTTTATTTATTTTTTTACAGGTACTTAATTAAAGGTCCCCCCTCATTATTTTTAGGGTGAGGTGGGTAGGTAGGGGGATAATTTTTGGGGGGGCAAGGGGGGGGACTAGGGGTTTGGGGACTCCTAGTCACCTGGGGGGGCATTTCTTTTAGGGCCCCCACCCGCCACTCAGGGGTGGGGGCTGGGGGGGAGGACAATAGGTCCCCCCTTATTAGTATTTAGGGCCCCCACCCACCTCTCAAGGGTGGGGGCCAGGGGGGAGGACCTTAGGTCCACCCCCTTATTAGTATTTAGGGCCCCCACCCGCCGCTCAGGGGTGGGGGCCAGGGGGGAGGACATTAGGTCCCCCACTTATTATAATTTAGGGTCCCCACCCACTGCTCAGGGGTGTGGGCCAGGGGGGAGGACATTTGGTCCCCCCCCTTATTCCAATTTAGGGCCCCCACCCGCATCTCTGGGGTGGGGGCCAGGGGGGGAGGACATTAGGTCCCCCCCCCATCATTTTACTTTAGAGCCCCCACCAGCCGCTCAGGGGTGGGGGCCAGGGGGGCAATAGGTCCCCCCTTTAGTTTAAAAGCCCCCACTCGTGCGTCGCGGGTGGGGGCTCGGGAGGGGGGACCCATAGCTAGTATAGCGAGTAAGGGCAAAATTTATTAATACTAAGTAATTTTTACTTAGTATTAGTAAATTTGGCTGAAAGACCAATTTAGGTCTTTCAACCTTTTAGTAGATAACTACCTAATACCGTGGGAATTAGGGAGTTATCTACAGAACCGAAAATTTTCCCCATGCACATGCCTACTTCTTACCTCTATCATGAAACTTTCACTTGTAACTGTACTTTTAAAAGTTGTCATAGTTCTTTTTTGAAACTTACAAGTGCTACAGTTTCCACATCTATGGAAACCATTAGGTTTCTTTTTTAGAAAAGTTTCCTGTTTGTTTTCTAGCACTACCTTTGGCAGCATACTAGGTGCTAGAATTGTTTTTAGACTATCGGTCTTTTTATACACAATTTTCGGCTTCTTAGGTAATATTTTATAAAGGTAAGTGTCCTGCAATAAAATCGGCCAATATTTTCTAAGAACTTTATCCATTTTATTTGCTTTATTGTTATACTTGGTGATAAATGCCATATCAAAAAAATTCTTCTCAAAGTTGCTAGTTTTTGGTTTTACTTTTAAGATATCTTTTTTTTAATTTTTTACTTCCTCTTGACTTCTTTCAAGTAATTCTTTAGGATAATTTCTATCCAAAAATCTTTTATTCAAAACTTGGACCTGACTATCAAAATCTTCCTGATTTGTACAATTCTTATATAACCTAGTTTGCTGACTCTTAGGAATATTCCGTAACCATACGGGATTATGGCAGCTGGAAAATTCAATAAGGCTATTACAATCCGTGGGTTTAAAGAAAGTTTTACTACAAATTATATTTCTCTCTATAAAGAAAGTTATCTTTTATTTCAACTGTATATTAAATTTTGGATTTTTAACCACAAATCCTTTCGTCATTAGTAATAAGATTAGTTTGGCATGATCTCCCTGAAGAAATCCCATGTTGTCCCTGATTTTGAAATCCATGTGATTTTAGATGTTCAACAATCCTATCCTTTAACATAGTTTCCATTCCTTTCCCCGCTACTGAAGTAAAGCTTACTGGCCTATACTTGCCCGACTCCTACCTACTACCTTTCTTGTGAATGGGTACACCATTCAGGTTCAGTTATGTATAACTCACCTTCCCCTGCACCCAACAGGCACCAGACACACAGTGGAGCCATCACCGTCAGGGATCTTTGCAAATTATTCAAAAATCCGAGATGGTGACAGTTACTTTTAGGCTACTAGTGTTGGTGTTCTCAAAATTACAACAAGAGAGAAAATATAATAAGTCTAGAACTGAAATTTTAAATAAGCTAACGTATATACAAAGATAACTTAAAAATACCTTTTAGGTTCATACATAATTAACCTGCTAAAAAAAAGTCTTAGAATTCACTTCCAGACTAAGGGCAAATCCATGAGGACAATTTTCAAATTTTTTGTAATTTTGAAATCAACTCATGTTGCCTCAACTAGTGTTAGGTAAATATACTTGAGTTAATTAAGTGAGTCAGCTGGGAAAATTTGCTCCAAGCAGTAGTCAGGCATTAATGAAACGACAATATATACGAGGATCATCAGTATAAAAGTGACATTGAATTCCAATGGAAGATTAATCATAACGTGAAAATAAACAGGATTTAGAACTCAACCATGACATGCCCAAACTGAAACATATAGCAGGGAGGATGAGGTGCCAGAACAATCAACATTGAAAGTTATGAGGTAGAATTAAAATGAGGACCAGGAAAACCCAGCGTCATGGTTAACAAGGTCATTGGGAGTATGAAAGAAAAACAGGTTTTAGACTGTGTCGAAAGCAGCAGAAGCATCAACAATAATTAACAAAGATCACTGACATTTGGAAAAATGAATAATTAGTCACTTTGGTTAGGGCATTTTCAGTGAAGTGCAGGGAGAAGATGTTATCTCATATAGGGAAAGACCCAACAGCAATTAGAGGTTCACTGTGCAGGGAAAATCTGTTGTCATAGCAAGAGTTTTGTTTTAACCCCTTAAGGATACAACTTCTGGAATAAAAGGGAATAATGACGGAATATTTCCGTCAAGTGTCCTTAAGGGGTTAAAGAGGTAGAACTTCACTGCGCTAGTTCTGTAATGCACCCTCATCACTTGTTTGTTCCAACCAGTGTTACAGGGGAAATAAATGAAGTAAAACAGGATAGGAATGAGAGGCTAAGGTAAGAGGACAGAAGAAGTTCAAATATATCTTGGTAGAAATAAAATATTTAATCAGAGCAAGCTGACAAAAAAAAAAAAAAGTTGGTTGTAATTGTCTTCTTAGCATAACATACCAATTATATATGTGAGAGTACCAGAGGTATAAACATTCCCGAACTTTCCTTATTTGTGGTACCTTTTTCAGGCTTGATCTGCCTCTTTGTGCTGCCTTCTGTCTTGCCTGCCCACCTCTATACTGGAAGGTCTACAGGGAAGAATGGTGGATATTTTTTGTCTCCATGTTTAGTTTCCCTTGTTTATATTGAACTTGGATCAAAAACACAAAACCAACCCAGTTTTGTTCCCAATCCAGTCCTGAAAGCACACTGATGATTGGTGCGTCTTAAGGACTTTGCTGGGAACCTATGTGCTCACACTCTCCTAACTGTACGATCCTGCCCCACTCTGTCCTCAAAGCTCAGACATTACACGTGATGTTGGCTTTCCATATATGAGTCTTTGTGGATCAAACTTGTGGGTCTTGTTCCTCTTTTTTATGTTAAGGAGAAAAGATGAAAGTTTATGCAAACTTGCATGTGGTTTGGTTCAAAAATGTATTAAACATACAGAACAGAGTATTGTTGTTAATAAAATTCTCAGACTGAACACAGGTGGTAAGAATTGTATCATGGGGAATCTCATGGTTCTGTCCTGGTCAATTTCTCTTCAATTTGCCTTGTGAAGGCTATTCATTCCTCAGTACTGCAAGTTACACAAAGCTGAAGAGGAGGTAAATTATCTATAGAAAGCTCTGAGAGTATTGGAAATCACCAATAATGATTTAGAGTAAACAAATAATTTAAAAAAATGCTCACTGTAATAAATAAACTAATTTTTATAACACGTATCCTTAGTAAGAAAACTAAAAATTCCCCTCATAACAAGGTTATGTTCTCAATTTTTTTTTTGCATTCTTTTGGATCAAGAGTGGTAACAAGGTGTGTGTGTGTGTGTGTTTTTGTTTTGGTCTTTTTCATGCTAGAGCACTGTCCTTTATGTCTCCAGTGTAACCTGATGCTTATTCCAAGCTACATTTCAGATAATTGGTATGTTATGCTGCTTGATGCTCATGATCGTGTTTTACTTGTTACCTGCACCAGCCTACATTCTGCCCTAATTCCAGCTTTATGCATCATCCCGGTTGCTGCAATGATGTACTAGACTAGACTTTGTATTCTTGTCTTGTCTTTGACAGTTCTTACATGCTTATCTTGGACATATTTTTTGGACTTGTGTTAACTACCTTCGGTAGATCTGACTGCAATACCTGCTTCAAAGCCAGGAGCACAGAGGAGAACGCACTAGGTCAGGGTTTTCCAAACTCTGGCCTTCAATATGTTACTGAACTAAAACCCCCATGATTCTTTGAATCGAACAGATAGCAAGAGAATAAGAAACATATGGAGGGTCAGAGTATAGAGAATCTTCTACTAGATCATTGTTAGGCAATCAATTTATCATGGGTTTATAACCTTGCATAGTGTAGCTTACCATTAACTCTTTAACAATATCCATGGCTCCAACCAACACAAACGTTATATTTTATTATTAAAGGGGTGACAATAAGCAACATTCACATGTTCTCCTTTCACTTTTATTAGACCAGTGATCTTTGTCCCATGAGATGGGATCCCAGAGACAATGGGATCCCAGAATACAATTACAACCAACCGTCTTATTAATTTATTTATTTTTCGTCAGCTTGCTCTGTTTAAATATTTTATTTCTACCAAGATATATTTGAACTTCTCCTGTCCTCTTACCTGATCCTCTCATTCCTATCCTGTTTTACTTCATTTATTGATTTTTTTTACAAACACAAAACTTAATTTGATTTACTTTGTGAATTGTTGTAATTTGTCATAGACATTTTCCTTGAGATCCAAGTTGCAAAATTCAGCTCAAAATAACACATTTGGAGAACAATACACAATTTGGCTCAATTGGAAATTCCACCTGTACTAGTTTGACTTAAAGGTGGCAATACAATTTCCATGTCACTAGAATACACTGTATACAGGATAAGTCATAATGTCTTTTTTTAAAATGTGTAGTTTTATTGATTTTCAATGATAAAAGAGAATGTGAATACAGAAGTAAGAAGGGGGTAGGTTAAGCACATAAGCATTTGTGGACATCATACATCAACAATAGTTTCACTCATCTGCTTACATGTACACCTCACAGTTTGGAATCCATCTACCTGAACCCTTTATGGAGACAGAACCCGAGTTGCCTGCTTAGTCATACAAAGGAACATTTGTAATAACAATCATAGGTTGGCATAAGAGCCCGATAAGGAGTGTGTTATCTTCTGTTACTAGCGTAAACAGTGAGTGCAAGAAATAATTGGTATAAGGGCACTGTCTTCTACCAAGTATCTGTACAACATGCATTGTTAATGAACAGGGTACTTGTCCTAAGAAATATACAGGGAAAGCAGGAAAAACAGGGAAAACAAGGATGGGCTAGAAGTTACAAAAATATACAATGATTGGGATTGGAGGGTATGTTAAACTAGATGATGTCTATTGTTGCAAAGTAGCATTGCCGGTGGTGCCTGCAGACAGTCAACTGTACTAACATGGCAGTGAAATTCTAGAAAAGCTCAGATATACCGGTGTCTAGAGTATGACAATGAGAACTGGCTGGGCAGGCAGGGAGGACCTAGGATTAACATGCTGCGCCAGTGTTGCTGCCAACGACACCCTGACCATATTTCCTCTCCCATGCCATCATTAAACATTTGTTTTTTCTTGCTAGAGGTGAGCGTCATGTGTAAAATTAAGATATCTTGTAATTAGCTGGGACAAGAAGGGCATTTTGTAGATTTCCAATGGGTTGCAATGAAATTACGTGCTGCTAATATCACAAGAGCAGTCAATTGCTTCTGGCCATATGACAAGGATTGTGAAAATAACAGCATTAGGCACGTGGACGCCGTCAAAGTAAAGGTGGGTACGTCCAAGTTGCCCAGGACACAGCGGACTATTTGCCAGAATGATTATCACCAAGATACAAAAATGACTTCAGGCTTAATGGGTGTTACCACCCCTTAGGTCTTCTGTCTTTAAGAGTGCAGCGCTGAGTATTGTGTGAGAGGACAGTGAGTTACCTGTGATTCAAAGACAATTATCCTTTATATTCTCCAATGTAATGTACATACAAAAGAAAACAGAAATATATACAGATATTTGTGCAGTATGTTAGGTACTGTAGTAAAAACTTGAGTGAGTAACATATATATCTACACTCACATTTTTTAGAGCCTTTCAAGTGAATTAGGCTCTAAACATCCGTGCGTCTGTGTCTTTAAGGGTAGATCACACGACCCCTCTCTCCACGGTAGAGTATATATTTTCCTCTCCACATTTGCCAGAATGATTGGATGCTGCCACAAGACCACCATGTATGTATAAAGGTGTTGCTGTTTGAAGCGCACCTCCAACACAATGGAGATAAGTTAGAGAACATATGTGCAAGTCAGTGGGGGGTCAAATACCAACGATATAGGAGTTTCCTGTGCGCCTCTATGTGAGAGAAGCATTTTGTCCATCAGAATAGGTCATAAAGGGCATGTAGCCAGTCCGACTCTTTCAGGGCCATGTCACAGTCCAATTGAAGATTATGCTAGCTTCAGTGTACAGATAATCTTAATTTTAATAATGACAGGAGGCGAGTATTTTGCATAATCTTTCTTTACTAACTCCATAGCAGCAAAGAAAAGAGTGACATAACTGAGAACCAATCACAATGCAGTATAGAGTATAAGAGGTGTAACGTATGACATCATTTCCTCTTTAAAGCATGCGACATCACAAGATCACAATGCAGAAACAATAAAGATAACGTATAACATGAAAATAGAACATAAACGTATGAAGAATTCTTGACAGGGACGAGTTCTTGGTGTCAAGTGACGAACTTCCATGACAAGATGATGATGATATCTTGAAGGAAGTCTGCAGTGTCCTGATTCATCTGGTTAAACTGAAACGAGAATGTAAAAGGGTATTAGATTCCGGAGATGGTTGTGTAAAACAACAAGATGTCTATCCCTTATGATTAAGTAACCATCATACTGCAATAGAGCGAATACATTCCACCCATCTATTGATGCTACCTAAGCCATCCCACCCATATGAAATATCTGTATTAATCGTAAGAAGACAACTTAGGCATTTAGCACAAAAACATGTGAATAAAGAGATAGAAATATACATGAAGACAGAGGTGGGGAAGAGCGAAAGAGAGCAGGGTGGGAAAATACTCGCCTCCTGTCATTATTAAAATTAAGATTATCTGTACACTGAAGCTAGCATAATCTTCAATTTTATCACATGACAGGAGGCTTCGTATTTTGCAATTTCAACGCTGAGTAAGTAGAGCAAAAGCTGGGTTAGATGGAGGACGGAAATAGAACGTCCTAAAGGTGGATTCTCTGGTCCAGTCCGCCGCTCGTAAAATATCTTGAAGGGAGGCCCCCGCTGCGTAGGCAGAGGAGGCCGCGGCCCCTCGGACTGAGTGTGCACCAAAAGCCTGGTCTATCCCGGCGAGGGCTAATAGCCATCTAACCCATCTGGCCAACGTAGTAACCGAGACTGGAGCGTAGGGGCGGACGTAAGAGATGAGAAGTTGGCGATTGGAAGTAGGCCGCAACGTCGCGGTGGCTTCCACATATCGACGAAGAGTAGAGACCACACAGAGTTGTGGGTCTGAGGGAAAAAAGGGGTAAAAAACAGAGGAAGAGTCAGATTTCGTGCGTCTAGAGATCTGGAAGGTTACTCCAGCTGGGCAGAAGGTAAATGCGTCGGCATCGAAAGCGCGTACATCGGACACCCGACGAAAGGAGACTAGGCAGAGTAGGAAGGTGAACTTTGCCGTAAGCTGGCGGAGTGACAAGTTCTCATTAGGGGGCCAGTCCCGTAAAAACTGTAAGACTATGCCAACGTCCCAGAGTCTCGAGTATTTGGGTTCCGGGGGGCGCCGAAGGCGCATGCCACGGAGGAGTCTACAGATGAGTGGGTTCTGGCCCACTGGTGTCCCTTGAATCGGCGTATGAGCCGCTGAGATGGCTGAACGTATCACGTTGATGGACCGGTATGACTTCCCGGTTGTGAACAGAGAGGTGAGGAAATTCATGATGGAGGGAATAGGTGCCGTAAAGGGATTGAGATCCCGTCCCAGACACCAAGTGGTCCAGCAGTGCCATGCTGATAAGTAGCACCTCCTTGTTCCTGGCGCCCATGAGTCCCATAGGAGCTCTCTAGTTTCCTGCGATAAATCCTCGGTTCGCCAGGAACCCCTGAAAGAGTCCAAGCCACCAGGGGCAGTCGGCCCTCCTGGACCAGCGGATGGGGAAGTCCCATCGGGTTCCTGAGAATGGATGGAGTATCTGGTAAGAGGAGGGGATCCTTGTTCGATAGTTCCAGAAGATCCGGGAACCATGGTTGGCTTTGCCATAGAGGTGTGATGAGGGTCAGTATCACCCTCTGCCTGCGGATTCGGTGGAGAACCCTCGTAATCATCGAGAATGGAGGGAAGGCGTAAGCCCCGTGTTGTGGCCATTGTTGCAGAAACGCGTCGGTTGCTAGACTCTCCGGATCTGGGAGCCAACTGAAGAAGTCCTTCGTCTGACGGTTGTTGCGGGAGGCGAATAAGTCCAGGGAGAAGGGGCCCCTCTGTGTATCTAGCATCGTGAAAACGCGAGGGTCTAGTTGCCAGTCGCTGGCGTCCCTCCAGTGGCGTGAGTACCAATCTGCTGTCGTGTTGGTCTCTCCTGGTAAGTGTTCCGCTAATAGCGTGATGTTGCGAGGCAGACAATAATCGAAGATTTCCTTCGTGAGTTCTACTAATGCTTGGGAGCGGGTGCCTCCGAGTCGGTTGATGTATCTTACCGCCGAGACGTTGTCCATCCGGAGAAGGATGCAGCAGTTGGATCGTTCTTTTGCCAGACTGCGAATGGCGAACGATCCCGCCAGGAGCTCCAAACAGTTGATGTGCATCGAAAGTTCTTGGGGAGTCCACACTCCCCCCGTGGAGGAGGTGCCGTCTGTTGCTCCCCAACCTGAGCGGCTGGCGTCTGACTCCAATATGAAGTCTGGTTGATTTCCGAATATCGCCCGGCCATTCCAAGCCTGCATGCAGTTCAGCCACCAGTGCAGTTCCTCCCGAACTTCGTCCGACATGGGGACCGGTTGGTCGTATGTTGGGTCTTTGCGAAGGAACTTTGTCTTGAGGCGTTGCATGGCTCTGTAATGCAGGGGTCCAGGAAAGATGGCCTGGATGGATGACGAGAGCAGGCCCACTATTCGTGCTAGTAGACGTAAAGGTATGGATGTCAGTCGAAGTACCTTCCGAATTTCTCTGCGGATGGTGGCAATTTTTGCGGCCGGGAGGCGTAGCGTGCACGATATTGAGTCTATCTCGAACCCAAGGAATTCGATCGACTGAGCAGGAGTCAGAGATGACTTGGGGCCGTTGATAACGAAACCCAGTGAGTCGAGGAGGTGTACAGCGTAGTCTGTATGTCTCTTTAGGGTCCTTGCATCCTCGTCGAATATCAAGATGTCGTCGAGGTAGACGATGCATCTTATGCCGTGGGCCCTTAGTCTCGCCATTACCGGCTTCATCATTTTGGTGAAACACCATGGGGCCGAACTGAGGCCGAACGGGAGACAGGTGAATTGCCAAGGTGTCCCGTGCCAGTAGAAGCGGAGGTATGAGCGGCTCCTTTCGTGCACCGGTATGGTAAGGTATGCGTCCTTTAGGTCTAGACGCGTGAACCAATCGTTGTCTCGCAGTAGGTCCCGGAGAAGATGGATACCCTCCATTTTGAAGTGGCGGTACACCACAAAGGAATTGAGCTCCTTGAGGTTGATGACGGGACGGAATTCCCCAGTTTTCTTCCTGACTAGGAAGATATTGCTGTAGAACCCGGTTGAGTCCGGAGCTGGTTGGATGGCACCCTTGGCGTGTAAGTCCTGAAGTTCCATGTCTATCAAAGAAGCGTCTGCCCGTGAAAACTGAATCGGGCGAGGTGGTGCCTGTTGGAGTGGCCTCGTCTCGAATTCTATTTGATAGCCCCGCACCGTCCGAAGTATCCATGTGTCGGAGGAGAGGTCTGCCCAATTCTGGAAAAAAAGAGAAACACGACCTGCGATATGGCAAGGGGTTAGAGGCAGTATAGAATGGTAACTTACCGTTGGAGAATCTCGCTCGGGAGCGTCCTCGGCCGCCACGGCCACGTTCCGATCCCCTGAACTGATGGAATCGATGGCGTGCAGATGGATCTGTGTAGAATGGTTGCGACCTAGTTGTGCGGGGGCCGGATGGCCAGAAGCGGCTGGTGGCACGGCCCCTCTGCCGACCAGCCCTCCCAAAAACACCACGGGTGTTGTGGCCGCGGAACACTTTCCGCATTGATGTTTGTGCCTTATTGAGGGAAGTGAATATGTTGACTCTCTTATTAAGCTCAGTAAGGAAGGCCTCGCCAAACAGTTTGCCCTGTGCCAAAGGGCCTAATTCTTTATCCCCCAGTTCGACAAGCTTGTCATCGATTCTGAAAAGTGCTGCTCGGCGCCTCTCCGAAGAGAGGGCCACATTAGTGTTCCCGAGGAAACAGAAGCACCTTTGTGCCCACTCTCGGGTATCTCGTGCCCACTCACGCACCATATCTGGGGAGAAGTCATCAGCCCTTTCATAGGCATCATCTGCCATATCCATGATCCTCGCCAAAGGCCCGATGGCATCTAATAGTTTGTCCTGAGCTCCCTTGAAACCACGTTCCACACCCTTGCGTGGGTCCCGACCCCCGCGGGACATGAATGTGGTCATAAGCGGGTCGAATTCGGGGGTGTGTGCTACCTTATCTGGTAGGCTCGGGCGAGGACATTCAGATCTCATACGCTTTCTCACTTCTTTGTCCAGAGACTTCCGGAGCCAGAAGTGCATGAATCTGGTCAAGTGTTCGGGTGGTGTCCATTCTTCCGAACGGGGATGGCGAATGTTCCTAGGATCGAACATTCGGAGGCCAGAATTGTCCAAAAATATTTCTGAACCCTCTTGTGGGATGTCTAGGGATGTGGTCCCGGAGTCCTGGGGCTCACCCAGGGTCTGTTCCCCTATAAAGTAAGGGTCCGATTTGGCAGCGGAGTAGTCGGATTCCTCTTGGTCGGAGGCTGCCGCCTGCCATTCGTCAACCACGGCTAACGCGTGTGAGGGACCTGCGTCCTCTTCCCCAGAGGAAACCTGAGCGGGTTTTTGTGATGATTTGCTTGTGTCTCGTCTGCGTTTAGCAGGGGCCTTTCCTTTGGATTTACGTGGTCCCATAGCCTCGCCTTTCCAATGGCGCTTAGGGGGGTGGGAGCGTTCCCTGGAGGAATCGGAGTCTTCCGAATCCGCCCCATAATGAGCCCGTTTGGGAATGGGCTTAGATGCGTCTTGTTCCAATTGGAACGACTTAGCCAAAGCTTTTTCCATGGATGCAGCAACCGCTGCTGCAATCATGGCCTGGAGATCTGAGGGATTTTGGGATTCTTCCATGTTGTTAATCACACTCGGGGCTCACCCGGTGAATATGCGTGAGGGCACTTGTGGTACTTGTGGCACAAAATGGGGAGGCCTGGGGACCAGGGGGTGGTGTAGAATAGGTAGTGGTTAACCTGAAAGCGCTATGCGACTGGTAGGTCAAGCGAGGGCTGTCGCTGGGGCTCACCCAGGAATTTGGAATCCTGCATAAACAGGTCCTTTCAGCAGCACATGAAAGGGGGCTCACCCCTGCCAGAATAAGGGTATTCCCACTGGCTGAAACCGACCCCAAGTGCAAAGCACTAACCTGATACTGGTCCCACAGTGAGCTGATAAGGCTGCAGAGTTCAAAGAGTATTCCAGAGTATTTGTGCAGTAATAATAGGCTGGAGTAGTAAGCAGGATAGTAGTAGCCGTTTAAAATGGCCGCCGGACTGAAAGCAGAAGGAAATGGGAGGTTTTAGTACCTCCCCTAGATGTTTTGAGCGGCAAAAAATTACCCGAACGGCGGGCGTTCGCGCTTACGAATCAGCCGAACGGAAGCGTTCGGCTAATACGCACGAATGCAAGCGCCTAATAAGAGACGTTCGCGGGAATTTGCCGAACGCTAGGCGTTCGCAAAGGGAACAAGTCTATGCGAACAGAAGTGCCGTTCGCGAAAAAACGTGCGAATGACGATAAGGCGGGAAAGAAACCCGCGAATTTAACTGACACTAGGAAGTATAGGTGAAAACGGCGAAAATGCCGTTAAGACTCCCTGAAAGGGGGTAAGCCAAATAAAAGCAGTGGAAAAGGTCCCAGAGCTAGAGGGGTGGGGGGAAGCCCCCAAAGGTAACAATACAGAAGCACTAAAATAACATAATGAATAAATGTAATAGAAATAGAAAAATTAGACAGTAGTTCTTAAATATAGATGACAAATAGTGTAAGGACAGAGAGGAAAACCAAGTCTGTACTTATCTTGTGATGGAGCAGCAAAGAAAGAGGAAATTATGTCATACGTTACACCTCTTATACTCTATACTGCATTGTGATTGGTTCTCAGTTATGTCACTCTTTTCTTTGCTGCTATGGAGTTAGTAAAGAAAGATTATGCAAAATACGAAGCCTCCTGTCATGTGATAAAATTCCCACTGCATTCGGCATTGTTGGAGCTTGGACGGCGAGAGCTCCTGCCAGGATCTATAGCAAAGCATAAAGGGCTTTCGGTTTAGTAGGCGAAGACCAACATCTCTCTATAAGTATCCAGGGGGTAACATAACTGGGATGTGGTGTAGGGTGTAGTGACGCAGCGTGGGTATTTAAAATGCTTTTTAAATGCAAGTAAGAGAAAACTGCATGGTTTGGTATCCGCCATTACGTCTATAGCACTGGGAATGGTTTAACTGCACGATCTCCTATGAGTTGGAAAATTCGTGTCACCCCTGCTGTAAGCCAGTACTTGAGAGGTATATCGCCCTTAAAGCTTATAGGGGGGATTTGGCGTGGAATATGGTTTTGCAATCCATGGCCAAGAGAAAATCATCCCAGAGCGTCAAAGTTATCTGAGTAGTTGGGAACAAATCGGGTCTTTGCTTCCTAAGATGTTTTGGTGACCACATATAGTCTATAAGTGGCTGTAAATTGCACCTTCTCCATATCCACCCATTGAATCACATCGGTCAGTGTGTGCATAGTAATGCCGGCTGATAATATTGCGGCTTTATAATACAACCAAATAATCAGCAGTCTCACACCCCCAAGCCGCATTGCCTCCTGTAAGAGGGATGTGGACACCCGGGGTCTTTTCCCTTCCCAGATAAAAGCACTACACAGCTTTTGCAAGAATTTACAATATTGTAATGTGAGTCCAATGGGTAACATCCTAAAGATATACAGAATGTGGGGAAGGATCATCATCTTACAGTCGTTAACCCTTCCAAGCCAAGAGAGTGTTAGATGTCTCCATTTATTAGTTTCATTTTTGCATAATGCTAGTAGAGGGATATAGTTTTTTTAAGGTAAGTTGATCTCCAATCCAAGGAATAATTAGAGCATAGGAAGTTAGTCAGGTCCAGGGGTAGATTAATGGGAAGGGCTTGGGTTTTGTCCTGATTCAAACAGTAGTGGGAGATGTTCCCAAACTGTTGCAGGAGATCTAGTAAAGGTGGAAGAGAACCCTGAGGATCATTAATAACTTGTCAGTGAATAGTGCTAAACTGTATTCCTTACCATGTATGGGGATGCCTTTGATGAGAGGATGGGTGTGGATTTTACATACCAAGGGCTCAATGGACAATATGTATAAGATGGGTGACAGAGGGCAATCCTGGCGCTTGCCATTTGTGATAGAGAAGGGTGTTGATAGGAACCCTCCATGAGAGACTTTAGCTGCTGGAGCGCTGTATAAGGCCATAGTGCCTCGGATTGCATAATGTATTTTCTACATTTTCGCTAGTCTATTTTAGCATCTGTTAAATTTCATGGAATACATAAGTATTAATGTCTCCAGTATTTCAGGATTCCAGGATTCGCATATTATTTTAATGATACCACATGTTTGGATTGAACTTATTAAACAGATAAAGCAAAAAATATGAAACAGATCAAAATACAAAGTCAGTGATTTTTTAGAATAATAATTTTAAGTATTAAGGATATCATGTATTTTGCTTCATATTCATTGTCAAATGCAAAATAATATCGGGTAATACTGAAACTTCTCTTTCCCAGCAGATTGCTCAGCACCAGACTCCACGCCCCTATTGAATGCAAGTTTAAAACAGCAAAACATTTCATGATCAGTTTACAATTTTCCATGGAAAAATGTTGGATAAAATGAAACCATGATCTAATAACAATTCAATTTCTTATATGTCGCATTTCTCCCAGTAGATACTCAAAACTCTTTTCCAAGACAATATCGAATTCAACCAGATATCAACTGACTATTAGACATCATACTCTAAACACAGATGAGCAGTCTTGGCTCATCATCTGCTGATCTACTATTCCAATAATCCCAATGCTCAAGGGAGATCGGTGTCAGAGGAACCTTGTGGAAAAATTATTGTATTTATTTGCAGAAACGTTCCTTGTTGAGTAAAACTTACTGACTACAGAAGTATTGGGAAATAATAAAATAAAGACATATAAGGAAGGCTAACTAGAATATGTGAGATAAGTAAAATAAAGATCTTTTGGAAAGGGTACGGGACAAATAACTGAACACACACACAGGTTTAGACACAAGTTTGAGAAAGAAAAACTTATGAGGTTTGTTCACTAACTACTAAACTGTAGAATTTTAGAATTTAGAATTTATTAGAATTTACACTAACATAGCAAAGATGTGAATATAGATGATTTGGAGAATTTTGTCAGATCAGCTATTTCACCCTCATTTTGGGAAACAAAATGTGCTTTATTTTAAATCTTTTGTTGTGAGAATATTTTAACAATCTCAGGGGAAAAAAATGCCAGACAGGAAAAGTAAAGAAACGTAACAAAAAAAAAATATTTGTTATTAAATAATAATTAATTGTTTGAGGGGCTAGTCACCCTGGTCTAGGAGAACTGTAGAAATCAGAATGTATGTGTTATGGGACAAAGCGACATGAAGTGGATATTCAACTTTGGGACTTTACAACCCAGGGTTTGAATATAGACTTCGAATTGCGCCATTTCATTTAAATTCTTGTTTTAATAATTTAATATATTAATACTGTTTTTTAATTCAATTTAAATCCTATTCTTCCTTCATATTTAACCATGAATATTCTTTTAGCTTTTTAACATCTGTTTTACAGTACTTTACATGCTTTAACATATATAGTACCAATTATTTTTCTAATTATATTATGTGTAAATACATGAATATGTTTTTCATTTTAAATGTTCTTATTAATATATGTTTTTATTGGTAAATTTTCATAATAGATATATATTATGTTGAATGTATCCTATATATGATATACTCAGGTTTCTAGTAATTTATTTTTACCTTTCATTAATTTATACTTGTTCCCTCCCTTCTTCTTTTTTCCCCCCATACTATATTCATTCTGCCCTTCCTCTTTCCCTATCTTAATATGGCGCCCACACTAGTTCCTGAGCCTTACTGTGGTGGGAGGGGAGATATTGTATCTACTTTGCGTTTCCGGGAGGTGGGGCAATGCACCACATGTGTGGTAACATCATTCTGACCTTGCTCCTACACCATGGTGGCCTGACCCCTCCTCCCCTACGTAAGAAGGCATCCGCACGCCGAGTAGGGGAGCAGGGGAGTATCCGCCGCTGGGTGTGTGGGTACGGATGGCGATCACGGCCATTCGCAACATTATTTGTGACAACCACGGAAGGCGGAGGGCATTCTTCCGCCAACCAACACAGACCATCAATTCAATTTTGCTTTAAAAAGGGTGCCAATTTTGGGAATTATTCACAATAGATCACCACAGCTGAATGTAATAGATGATAGGTCAGAGTGACTGGAAGCCACTATGATTGGACAAGTGTCTGCACGTGTAACTCGAGGAGAGAATCTAATAGAGACTTAAATATGGAAGATTCAAAGGACCATAACTACAGCTGACTGAAGAAACTCTACAAGAGTGAAAGGCGTTTTGGCTATATTCAGGACTTTTACTATTTTATTTTATACTGTATTACTTATGTTTACACTATATGCTTTACATTTAATTCTACAATAAATTTGTATTAATATTTTAAAGTCTATTGTAACCTCCCGAATCTTCATTGGGATTAGTGCTGTCCCCAACAATTTGGCACAACACTATCCTACCTCAGAACCAGGACTTTAAGGCTCTGACAAAGGTGAGCAATGTGGCAGATCGCCAGTATATCGCCACCACGGATTCCCTTTCCCAAAATAACATAGCGTTAACATTCACCAAGATAAATATCACTGGTATCGCCTTTTCCCCCACACATTAGTCAAGACCGAATGCTGGGAGTAGATCTGTTTAATGCAGGCAAGCACTCACAATTTATACATACAGTAAACTCCTCCCCTGTGCCTGAGAGATAATTGAGTCAGGAAACGTTCAACTCAATTAACTCCCAGGTACAGAAAAATATAACAATTTTTAAACACCCCAAAAGTACCACCAAAATCCATGGAAACCCCTTGGGAGTCACATCCCTGGATAGCCCTGATCTGAGTGCTTAACATTTCCAAAAAGCACTCAGATCGGTTCAGTGGTTTGGAATTTCTATCGAGGTACGGTTTAGACCGGCCACTAGGTAGAAGCCCAAAAATGTTCCAGAGAAATTGTGGCCATGGCCAGTCTCAGTTTGAGGGTTTTTGTACGAAAACCATACACAATATGCGAATGCTTTTAAGTGTCGAATGCTCCCCCCCATTCGGCAGTTTATATCTTCCGAACCCCGTTCATATAGGTGGTCAGGAACTTGAACGGGCAACAGTTCCATATTTACTGCTGTTCGCAGGAGTGCCTAGCTGAAATAAGTTCCAGTCACTCGACGACCAGGTACCACTGCCTGCATTCACAAGACAACCCAGGGAAGCCTTTTAGTAATGGTTTCCATTGTGGTTTCACACTGGATACTTTGTATTCCATGTTCTAATTAGGTGTTGGGGTGGTCTTCGTTCAGGAACTGAACCGGTGGCATTTCGTGGGGCATTCCTTCACAAGCACTATACCTATTCAATTTTTAAACAGTTTTTTATTGACTGTCTACACATTGGTTGCCTTTCTTCCTTTTATTTTCTCAGAGTGAACTTTAACCCCAATAAGGACCAAACTTCTGGAATAAAAGGGGATCTTGACATGTCACACATGTCATGTGTCCTTAAGGGGTTAAAGTGGACAAGAGGTGTGATTTTCCCCATAAAGCATAAAAGCCAAGTTACGGATATATATATATATATATATATATATATATATATATATATATATACACACTTTTTAAAGTGAGTGATCCTATTTTTCAAGAATTTACTATGTTCAATTTGAAATACCATCTGCACTATATTGTGTTTATTTTTACTTTAATATGTACCACAAGTCTAAGATTTTAACAAGATAACGTGGGGTAATTTCCCCTATACACAGATATACTTTATATTAAGTGCTCCACTTAAGGTGTAGGTTTTACATCACTTTACAGATTTTGTATTTTGGGTGTGGACAAGAAAAGATGGTATTCATATAAGTGTATAGAGCTGCTGTTTAATATATTCACTTCAGCTCTTTTTGTATACACTCCCCTCCCAAAAGGAGGTGTACTTTGTTTGAATTAAACAGAACAGGTGGGTTTCTCCAAATGGTTGTGAATTGAAATTCAAATCTAGGTAAAAATAACTGATGTGGAAAAATTGTTGCTAAACTTTTGCCATTTGAATTGCCTGTGGGCTTCAATCCACTACTTTAAAAAGCACTACTTGTCTCTACTGAGTTAAAAGTGTGTAGGAATGCTTTTTAAATGCATGTTTTTATTATATAACTTCCAACTTTTAAAGAAGAGAAAAAAATGCATTAAATTTATTTTTCTTCTACAATTATAACTCATACAGAATTTGTTTTTGCATTGTACTCTGTAAAATATTGCTATAAATGTTAGATTAAAATACTACGGACAGAGCTCTCTAATTATATCTCCCTCTTTTTGAAACTCTCTAGTGTTTTTACATATTTCGAATGTTGCCAATCTTGCTCCCTTCTCTCACCCTGCTACCCATTTACAGAATATAGAATCAGCTTTATTTCCTGTTAAACTTCCCTGTTTCCATCTATTTAGCAGAAAGAGAAAGGAAACAACAGGAGAAACTACAATATTAATATAAATACCTAAAAAAAATTAATTGCCTGGGGACTGAGCGAGCGTATTACCTCAGCCATGGGGGGGCTGGAGATTAGTGACCTCATAGAATTCTGTGGACTCACTGACTCAAGAACATCCACCCATAGCAGCAGCTTATAAAACAGGTTGCTATGGCTTATTCTGAGCATTCCAGAGCAAGCGCTACAACTACAGAGCGGTGAGTGAGAATGGCTTGTGAGACACAGTTAAAGAAAGTTTTGTTGGTGCCAACTTCGATGCTGGTGCACTAGGTTTTAACTCCTTCAGGACAAGAGGTTAAGCAAATCCTATGATATTATGACAGTTCTGGCATGGCGTCTGTCAGGAACAGATTTTAGGGAACTTTATAAGAAGGGCTGCTTATCTAAGTCTATAGTGTATGTGACATATTCACTGAAGTTGTGGTGACATGGTAAATGCCTTAATTTGGCACTGTGAGAATTATTTGATAAGATGAAAATAGATCGATTAACTAATGGGTGTATATATCATTTACTCAGCAGGATTTTTTCCTATGATGTGCATGCTTTTAGGAAGGATATGTCATTGTATATATAATTTCATTATTAATACTATCGTCAGTCACATATGCTTACGTAATGTTTTTATCACTATATATATAAATTAGTTAACAGGATTTCCTGCAAAATGTGTTTTTTTGGGATGGATTAATCATTCTAAATTATTTGTTCCGTTGACTTTCTTCTGCTATATGTATGTCTGTTGAATGCATTAATCAATGTGTGTTTGTATGTATATATATAGTTCTGTAAGGCTTTTATCGGCAATATTTGTTAATGGAATGGTTTAATTGGTGATTATACCATGTTTTCATTAAGATTCCCCTATGCTACATGTACTTATAAAATGGATTAACTGTATATACATGCAACTTATTTAGTTGTTATTTAAAATAGTATATACTTATAGGATGAACTAACATTACTGTACCAAGTTTAGTAATATTTAAATAAGACTTTACTCTGATATATATGCTCTTAAAGAATGGTATAGTTGGTGTATTTATTATATACTATATTCAATAGGTTTATCCTATACTATAGGTATTATACAGAGTAGTTATAGAGAGCAATTCGGGTACAACTGAGTAATTTGCCGGAGCATTTCCATAGTGACTGGGAAACATTTAGTATTTTGCCGCATAATTTCTATTTATATATATATTCCCCTATATGGTTATAGTAATATGTATTTGTTTAGCAGGACTTTCCTGTGCTATGTGTCAATAGGAATATATTTTTAGGAATTTAGTTAAAGATAGAATTGATGCTAGGTGACTTGCCGCTCAAATGTCAGTGCCCACAGTTGGCATATGCTGGTCAAACCAAGAGAGACGAAGGAAGAGATAGAGATCAAGAGCAGAAAATTGATGAGAAAATCAGTGGCTTCAAGCAAGGTCGAGAACTAGGGGCTTGAAAAGGACACCTGGCATGATGCCAGTCCAGTTAGGCACAAGAAATAACAAGATCAGTCTTCCGGAGCCTAGGCAAATGGGAGAAGGGCCAATCTGGAGCAGTAGGAGTAAAGGACAAGACATGAGGCAAAATGATAAACTAAGCGATTGGGGTTAGAAACAGGACATGACTACATCTGACTTCTCTGACAATGAGCAGAGGGCAAGGCGAATCGAATGAATGTGATAGCAAGGAGCACCTGTATCCTGGGCTACACAGTGCTGTTGGTCACACTGCTAGCTACAAAATACTGCAGTGAGTCACTGAGAGGGGATGGGGTTGCTAGTTCCACAATATTTTCCTGGATAGCCATAATTACTTTATGTTCAAGGAAGCACATAAAAAGTATTGCCCCCCTGGGTGAGGTATTAGAGGGAGTGGATTGGCAGGATATCTGGGAGACGGCGGCCGCCTCCTCCATCTGTGTTTCCTTCCAGGAACAATCTTTCAAGACCCTCTTTAGATGGTACACCACCCCAGTACAACTCCATCGCATGCGAAAGACACCCACTGATCTTTGCTGGAGGAACTGTGGTCTGCGGGGCACATACATCCACATGTGGTGGGGGTGCCCCGTCGTCCGCAGGTACTGGGAGGACGTTAGAGACATACTGGGACAGGTATTCCAGAGGGCACCCGCCCTTGACCCGTGGACATACCTCCTGGGCAGACCTATTGACGAATGGCCCAAATATGACCTAAAACTATTCAACAAAATCACATTGGCGGCCAGACGAGCCCTCGCACAACGCTGGTTAAAAATGCAGCCCCCCACCAGGGCAGCGATCCTGGGGAGAATAAAAGATAGTTGCCTAATGGACGACCTCACAGCAAGGGTGCGCAGTACCCAAAAGGCTTTCGAAAGGACGTGGGGACGCTGGAAGGACTGCCCCCTGGCGGAGTAACCGTCCTTGCGCTTGGCGGGGCCGCGGCCCGGGGGGTCCGAGAGGTGGAAGATGCTAGTCTGCTTGGTGCCCTCCCCCCTTCCCGCCGCCCTCTCCCCGCCTCCTTCTTCCCCCCCCCCCGTCCCCTTGGGCTCCCCCCGCCTGCCCGGGCGCCTGGTCCACCCACCCCCCCACCCTCCTTTCTATCTTCACTCTACCTTTCTCTTATCTTCTTACCCGGGTCCTCGCCTTAGACGAGGGCCCGCTTGATACAATATACACATTAAGCACACGCAGGCAATGATAGCACACTGAAGCGAACTATCAGCGCAAACACGCACGAATTCACACGCCAGGCAGGTAGGCGCCAGGGAGTGGAGGGGGGCCCAGTCAGGCCAAAATGTATTTCAGTTCTATCTAGTACAAAGCAGGAGTTGAACGCGGGCTCCACAATACAGGGGACAATTTGCAGCTGGAACAAGTCAGAAGGGCCGTCACCTGTATTTAACATAGTTGGAGACTCCACAGCATCATTAAGAGATATCTCATCGCCCAACGGTACCCCGAAACCCTCCAATAGCGCTAGGATAGGCACCACCGAATGCCTACAGAAACCCACCTTCACGCTCTGGCCACCTGTAACTGACTCAATATACAATAAAAAATTGACAGCACAAAAGTGATGTCCAAGCCCCCTAATAAAGAGTCCTGTGCTACAGGCACTTATTGTAACATAAGATGTCTACCACGCTTATCAACTGTATGCCTATGCTGTAATATGTTATGTTATACTTGACCACGGTTTATGCTTAAACCGGAACATCTTGCCTTGTTCTATAATACTTTGTCAAATAAAATAAAGAATTAAAAAAAAAAAAAAAGTATTGCCCTGACACATTTGGATGTCTATGCCTTCTCTGATTGTTTAAAGAAACACCTTAGTGTTAGGAATACTGTATTTCTATTATTAAAGAGTCTCTCTGCCTTTAATAAAGTATATATTCTTGGGAATTCCAACTGAATTTCAAATTGCAGTTTAAATAGCGGAACTAAAAACATATCCCACTTGGATTTGTTCCCAATTCTAAAAATGTGAAATTTGCTTTGAATTTCCAAGAATTCACACTTGAATAATCATGTAAAGATTGGGATTTGAGACAACAGGTTCCAGGGGAAAGGGAAGTTGAGAGCAAGAGAGATTTACTTAAGCAAATATTATATGGGTTGTAAGGTTGCTTAGGAGATAAATTAACAAATTATTTTATTTGTAATTTATTTTTTCACCCTTTATAAAAAACATTACGGGAATTCAAAGTTTTGGAAACTGTACATCAACCCTTCAGTTGGAATATTTCACATAGGGTCTGAAATATTATAAAAGCAAAAAATGTAAATAATAATAATTGTAGATTATGCTAGATTTAGTGTACCTATAATCTTACTTTTTATGAATGACAGGAGGCTTCATATTTGCTTAAGTTTCTCTTTACTAGAACTCCACAGCAGCACAGAAAATCAACCAATCAGAAAAAAGTTAGGTTCTATAAAACTCCCCTCCCCATGCATCATTTCCTCTTTCGAGCTGCAACAAAAACAGAACAAAAGGCAGAAAATATAATGGAGACAAAACGAAGTCCTAGATACAATGAATACAACAACGTCCATCATCCGAGGCAATCTGTCAAACCAGAAAGCGTTGATGGATTGTAAGCTGAAACGAGAAAAAAAAAATAGAATCGAACAGGTTGGTTAGCCAATGAAATGTACGCTGAACAAAACTGTAGGCACCCAGTGAGACAACCAGAAATACCATAATATGCATAGATCCTAACCCTTACTATGAAAAACGGACATAAGAATAAGTGAGAGGTAGCAGAGACAACAAGCAGAGTTGCATACCTACCTGATGAACCCAAACTATAAGTTAAACAAGGGCGGGATTAAGAATCGGAGGGAAATATTCGCCTCCTGTCATTAATAAAATTAGGATTATAGGTACACTAAAGCTAGCATAATCTACAATTTTATAACATGACAGGAGGCTTCATATTTGCTGTTTTAACGCTCAAGCAACAAATCCAACGATGTTTGTTTCGCTGATACCACTTCCGGGAGAAACTAGAGCAGAAACCCAAATAGGCCCTGAATAGTAAGAAGTAACAGCGGATGGCTCAATGAAGATGCCAGCTGTCAATGTACCACCAGTCATTGAAAACACACAGTTCACTGCTAGACCGTTTGTGCGGATGTGACTCGCAAGGTTAACTGTATAACTGCGTCGTAAGTTCTGAAGATCCTTTGCGAGCCTGGAATGCGAGGAAATACTGTCACTAGGTCTCAACCCTCTATGCGGAAGATTGCTCCTCCGATCGTGTCAGAATCACCCGGTGGTATGGTCTTGACGGCAAACTCCAACCTCCAGCAAGGTGTCTGAGTCCATCACCAACTTGTCACAAAATCGAAAGTGTCTATTCGTTCCCTCCTGATCTACCAGGCGAGTGGTCTTATCCAGGAAAGAACTAACTACGCTGGTCCGAGTGCGGGCCAAATCAGTCTACTACTAAGTGTTTTCCGTACTCCAATTGGACTGCGGAAACTGCGACTGTGGTAGGCCAAGTACTCCAAAGTGACGTCCTATCCGGGTTCCAAACTGAATTTGTGTAGCGAAACGGTGCTAGATCTGAACCCGACACCGTTCCTGGTTAATACTCCAATGGGAGGGTGCGTCCCGACTACGTAACATCCGAGTGGGATTCGACCTCAAGCAGGGTTCCCCCATAGAGTCCAAACCGTCCTCCTTGTCCGTATCTGAATAGGTGATAAAGCGAAAATCAAAACCAGCAGGGCACCCGTGGTGGGCCTAGTGTATAGGAGGAGGGACCTCCATATATAGTGTTCTCCAGATCCGTTCTCAGGAGGAGTCGGGACAAATCTGTCACTTATCCCCGGATAGCTAACCGCCAGGGAAGCCAAAATTGACCGGGAACTCCGGTTTTCCGACCAAGGCATACGGTGTCTCTGCAGACCGGGAATGCGGGACTTATCCATTCCCATTGTCAAAGTAAGGCAGTGCATGTATGCTCTATGAAGGCCTCAAATCACATGTCACCCTGAATAGTGGAAAGAACTGTCTGGTCAGTGTCAAAACAGTGTGAAAAACATAACCAGGTTGCACTTGCTTGTTCGATACAATGCCGGTTATACCAAAACCTACACACCTGTAATAACTGGGGTTCCCCCCATCAGCCGTACAACCTTCAGGTGTAAATCCAACAGGGAATTCTAGGGTACCCACAAAAGCTGGCCACACTCAGGAGCGGTTTCTAGACAGCCAGTTCCTAGCGGCCCTTACCCTGTCCAATAAGGCATCAGGGAAACGTGTAAAAAGGGGTGGGGAATCTCCCCCCGTACTACCTCAGAGAGTATATCCCAGGTGGGGATACAGTGGCATGGGTCCAGCAGACCAATTATAGGGGATGTAGCAGGGAGAGTTGGTTTAACCATGTGAAATCATGTTCATACAGGTAGCATTTCTATAACGAAAATGGCAGCACATGCGTGAGGTCTAATGGAGGGGTTCTCTCCTCTTACCCATTCGCTGTTACATAGCGTCTCCTCGCTCTTCCGTGAGGTAGTCATAGTCCTTCTAACAAGAGCTGTAGTATCAGCTGCAAATCATGGTGGTTAGCACAGACCTCCGAATTGAGTTGATCGTAGGCGGGACGCCCCGATATGAAGACACCGGTGTCCTGTACTGGCCTAAACCCATAAGATGGGTCGACAGTAGGATAATCAACCTTGTTGGGTAGTGACCAGCGATGGGCCCGCCCTCAAGAGGGGAGCGGAATCCAGTACTGTTAGAAGGTTGTCGTGCCAGCGGTAAACTAAGGAAGCAGTGTACTTGGCTATCTTGGCCTGTGCACCTGAGGGGAGCTCAGCAGCGGGTTAAATGTGCTAGAGAGACGCACTCTCAAGCATTATAAAAGGTATCCCTGCCAGTCCCAGGCTGATAGTGTGAGAGGGCCGTACCCTCTAATAAAACTCAGTGAGCATGCCAGTGTCTGGCTCCGTATAGGAAAGTGGATCACACTCCAAACTTGTAATTTGTCTCAATATTCACCACGGGTTGAGGCTAGGGGAGGTGCGTGCCCATTCGTGGGAGTTTAGTGCCAGGCTCCGTATATGAGGGGGGTTCCCTCTAATCCTGTAAATTAGCCTTCAATTCGAGCTGAAGTTATGAAAGGGCTGCACCCTCCTATCATGCAGAACATAGCCCATATCAGTCTCCGACTGATCCTAAGCAAGGAGCTCGTCCTTAAAACTAGTCAAGTCAGGCTGAGGTCCTGAGGGGGATGCCCCTTTGACCCTGAAATCACGCTCTGTATCAGTCATCTGAGTGGTGTACTTTCACTGGGAAGCTGATAGCTGATAAAGGTCGGAGAACAATCCACTCTAAGGGCCGTGTCCAAGAGTTTACTACTGGGGACAGGCCGAGAAATTGTAATAGCTAGAAAAAATATAGAATCTACAAACGACCACCTGGATCCCGCGCAAGTGCGCGGGATACAGGGTGGTCGCCGGTAGCCTGAGGAAACGCTGGAGACGTTCTCCGCGATCCACGAGAGCCCGGGAAGTCAGAGAAGGCCAAGTCAGGCCTCTTGGCAACCTGAGCGATAGGAAAAGTCGGAAAACACGAAACAAAGATAAAAAGCTAGAGTAAAATTCGGAAAAAGAAAATACGTACCTCGGAGGCAAGGAAAGTAAACGGACAGGATGAGCCAAGGATAGGGAAAAACCAACTGAAATAGCCAAGAACTGAGAGAGACATAGAGAGAAATTACCTAGCTTATGTAAATGAATACCGGAAATGCGGCTAAAGGACTATTTGCTAAGAGTCCAGGAATTACCGTGCACCCCTGTTTGTGTTGAGCACTGGTCCCTGTATGTGCATTAGAGTGAAACTCTCCTTGGAGACGTGCCGTCGCTGGACTGGTGCAAACCGTGGCTGCCCGTCTGGGCTCTTTGCATAAGCCTTGTCCCTCATGCACGAGGTTTAGGGCCTTCACCGTTTCACTCATATTTAGGTGTACATAGACCGGTGTCACTTCAGAAAGTATGGTATCAGTGCTTACCTGGACACCTGTCTCCGTGACAATAGTGGAAACTGAGATACCTCAGTAATATTCCCCCAGGCCTGCGGCCAAAGGGGGTTCAGGCACAGACTAACGTCAGTCTATCAATATGGCACAGACAGAGCAGGCCAATCATAGGGGCACAGACAAACCAGGCCAATCATAGGCGCACAGGCAGAGCAGGCAAACACAGCGTTTAGTACGAATGCTGTAAGGGCCAATGTGTTCGAGTAGGGACTCCAGATGTGTTTACGGGTCCCCAGGGTATATCGGTGTTAATTACCCCAAAACGTAAATGGTCTTCCAGGCATTGGCACCTATGGGAGTAACCCCAAACCAGGCGACTGGTAGACACCTAAGTCTTGCAGGCAGCCACAGACAAAAAAAACTCAGCTGTAGGGAAATCCCCATGCAGCACAGACTTTAATGTATAGGGAAACACCCTTATAAATTGGCCTCTATAGGGCACACTGAGCGGGGTTTAATGGGGGGCCAGCTAAGCTCCAAAAACCTGAGGTAGGCTGGCAGGGCCCTTGCAGATTGCCACTAGGGAGGTGACATATCTGACATATCCATCCACTATATAAATTTATACACCTCTTGTGTCACTTTAATAAAATTATAATTAAGATGGCAAGGGCTTGGTAACTGATGGCTTGGAAGCCTTCGCTTTAAAAGGTCAGTTCGCAAAGGTAATAATTACAGGGCATATAAGCAACTCCTATCACCTGAAATTTCAACTTGACGCTATAATTAGGAAAGCCTTTGCAGGAACAGAACCTGCAAAGGCATACTCTAAGGTAAGTACATATCCGAAATAAATAAATAAATAAATATGGCAGTAAGGCACAGTAAGTTATATGAAGGCACAGGATGGCTGACAAGGACCTCCCCACCCCCCATGAGTCCAAATACAGTCTAACAAAAATCTAGGTAAGCATAAGATGCACAGAAAAAAACCCCCAATAAACCTCAGTAAAAAACTGTAATAAGCAATAAAATCCCAAAGCCACCAACTAGAAGCAGGAGGCAGTGGTACTCTGACCTGTACTGACTGCGGAGCAGCAAAGAAAGAGGAAATGATGCATGAGGAGGGGAGTTTTATAGTACCTAACTTTTTTCTGATTGGTTGTTTTTCTGTGCTGCTGTGGAGTTCTAGTAAAGAGAGACTAAAGCAAATATGAAGCCTCCTGTCATATTATAAAATTTATATTTTTAATACTAATAAAATTATTATTTTTTCATAATGTCCACAAAATATTATTTTTAATATTTTGTCCAACAATTATCCCTACAATACAAATGTTCTTATATGTAGTAGGAGGTGACAGGAGTTTTTATATGTAAATTTTCATAGGTAAATAAATATGGTCAAATATATTTTTAGTATTTCTAATGAGCCTAATGGCATTAGTAGCAATATAGTTTACAAAAAACGGCAACAAAATATAAAAAGAATGTCTGCATTTGAACATAATGTTCACATACAATAACTACAGTTAAAACATACATGTATAAACTAGGATATTTAAAGTGTACTAGCAGCAATCTGTCTCAGTCTCTTTAATGCCAACAAAATATGGGAGATTTCATTCTTTCCTCCTCCCTAGTAGGAATGGTATGATCTTTGAAATTTCCTTTACGGTGTGAAAAGAGGAAACGGGGTGTGACAGATGTACAGTGTAATATCAATAACCATAAGATGTAAAGCATAGCCGTGTGTAATACACAACTTTATAATATTGGCTGTTAGCATTACAGCTGCACTGCATTCATAGCATGAGACACAAATAGCAGCGTCGGATATGATTCTAATAAAGTTTCCTCAATGCTGACGGCTGGTCCTTATCATTTCCCACACAAGTTGTGTCACAAATTTCACTACTGAGCTTATTCACTAAAAGCCTTATTGTGCTGAATTATAAACCAAGTTGTAAAATTTAGTTTAAAAGATGCAAACTGTGATTATAGTGTCTTGGAGAAATGTTAATAATCAGATATTTTGCTCTTAATATTTCAATTCAGTCTACAATTAATTACATTTCTATTAGTAAGTAAAACCCTGCGTATACAATGTTAGTAGAGAATCCTGCCACTAGCACCACTGCATAGCTAGCTATAAAGATTAATAGAAGAGTTTGATAATAAAGATAAATGTTTTATTGGTATTTTTATTTTTTTTATACAATAGGACTTTCATCTTTTCTGTATTCAGTGTGTGGATAGACAGCGTATATCCCTTTCATCCTGGAGGTTAATTCTCTAGTGCAACCTTCAGCACTCCAGATGTTGTGAACTACATCTCCCCTGATGCTTTGCCTGGAAGATGTAGTCCACAACCTCTAAAATTCTACCCCTGCTCTGTATATTAGTATATTAGTCTGTATATTAGTTGGTTTTTTTTACTATGTATGTTTGGAGTCCAGACCAAATTCATTTTAGGTTGAGACCCTCTGCCCTCGGCATCAGATGCCCCTTACAAGCTGACTACAGGAAAATATAAATTTGAGGATGTTTTGGATATATGATATGCATTGTGAGTATATACATCAAAGCACTATCCCTTTTGTTTATTTTTTATTTTTTACAGTTTTTTTTTTAATTGTGTTTTTATCACATACATTTGCATTGTATATATTCCCAATGCTCTTACAACAGATTAATTAAATATACTTTAGATTATTTAGCACTATTTCATTTGTCTCCCATGTTGGAATTAGTGTAGGACCCACTGATATTGGGGTACTGTGGCATAGTGGTGGGTTTAACACAATATGACCATATGGTTGAACTGAATCCTCATATTTGTTTGCTGAGAAAGGTGATTTTAAATAACCTTGTAAAATGTAAAACTCTATTTGTGTGTGTGCTGTTCCTTAATCTGTATTTTTATAAAGTTTGGTCTCTACCGCAGCAGCATTACAGAGAAATGCATGTTCTGGGTGCATGTTTTTTAACTATGTATCTTACTTACAGGGAGTGCAGAATTATTAGGCAAATGAGTATTTTGACCACATCATCCTCTTTATGCATGTTGTCTTACTCCAAGCTGTATAGGCTCGAAAGCCTACTACCAATTAACCCCTTCAGGACGGGTGACGGACGAGGTCCGTCACACAGGGGAGACCCTTAACGACGGGTGACGGACCTCGTCCGTCACGCGGTAAAATTAACCCCGGATCGCCGCTATCGCGGCGATCGCGGGGTTAATGGTGCTCCCGGTATGCCTCTGCATTAGAGGCATACCGGGAGCACCCGGTCAAGCTGCCCAGCACATGTGCTCGCTCTGACCACAAGTCGGAGCGAGCACATGTGCTCTAGTATACTCACCTACCGGCTCCCTGCACTTCCGGGTTCTGTGTGAAGTGCAGGGAGCCGGATCAGTGCTGATCCTGCCCCCTGCTGGAAAAAAAAATAAAGTTTATTTAAAGTCCCCCCCCCCCTTACCCATTTTAATAAAAAATTAACCCCTTCCCTGCCAATTGATCACTGACTACAGTGATCAATTGGCAGGGATTACATTTTACTATGATCTGATTTTTTTTTTAACCCCTGAGGGTTAATTCTTTTTTTTTTTAACCCTCAGGGGTTAAATTAATTAAATTAATTAATTAAATTATTTTTTAATTATATATTTAGATAGCTGGGGTGGGTGGAAGTTAGTGGGGAATTGGGGGATCTGGCGTTAGGCTAACTAGGGGTTAACGTTAAAAAAAGTTTTAAAAGAAACTTTAAAAAGTTAAAAATTAAGCTTAAAAAAATGTTTTAATAACATTTAAGTAAAAAAAACAAAAAAAACACACTTTACCTAGTCCAAATAAAAATTAACCCCTTCCCTGCCAGTCGATCACTGCCTACAGCGATCAAATAGAGATCACAGTATTATACTGTGATCTAATTTTTTTTAACCCCTGAGGATTAACTTTTATTTATTTTTTAACCCTCAGGGGTTCAATTTATTTAATTAATTAATTTAAATATTTTATAACTATATATTTTGCTAGCTGGGGTGGGTGGGAGTTATGGGAAAATGGGGAATTTACTGTTAGTGCTGCGTACTGCTAGTTAGGGGTTAACGGTAAAAAAAAAAGCTTAGAAAAATGTTAAATCTGTAAAAAAGTTTTAAGAAAGTTTAGGAAAGTTTAAAAAAAATTTATAAGCAAAACAAAAGTTTAAAAACTAGTTTTTAAAAGTAAAAAAGTTATAAAAAGTAAAAAAATACATTTTAAAAACGCTCATTACCACTACACCTGGAGCAAACTAGAGAAAAAAATTATCCCACGCCAAGGTTCAAAATATGCCTTTTGAATTACCCCAGGGTGTATTCTTTAATAAATAGTATGTGTTTGTGGGGAAGTTTCAATAACCAACCGTCTAAACTACTCCAAATTGGAACATGGACACAGCGTAAAACTTCAAAGTTAGAAAAAAACTGAATGGCTGCGTCTCAAATGCGCCCCTTCAACATCCACATATACCTGGCAAAGGTACATACGGGGGTATTGCTGTACTCAGCCGACATAGCTGAGCAACATATGAAGTATTATACAGTCATAGCACACATAAGGTTTGCAAAATATGCTGCGCAAACTCACTTTGTATGTCAAAAAGGCAGAAAAAATGCTTATTACCACTACACTTGGTACAAGCTAGCGGAAAAATGATCCCACGCTAAGGTTCAAAATATGCCTTTTGAAATACCCTGGGATGTCTTCTTTAAGAAATGGTATGGCTTTATGGGGAATTTGGATTATATAGCCTGGTAAAATACTCTAAAATGGGACATAGGCACAGCATAAAAATTCAAAGTTTGAAAAAAACTGGAATGGCTGTGTCCCAAATGTGCCCCTCCGATGTCCACACATACCTGGCAAAGGTACATACGGGGGTATTGCTGTACTCAGCCGACATAGCTGAGCAACATATGAACTATTATACAGTCGTAGCACACATAAGGTTTGCAAAATATACTGTGCAAACTCACTTTGTATGTCAAAAAGGCAGAAAAAACGCTTATTACCACTACATCTGGTACAAGCTAGCGGAAAAATGATCCCACGCTAAGGTTCAAACTATACCTTTTGAAACACCCTGGGGTGTCTACTTTAAGAAATGGTAGGCCTTTGTGGGGTAGTTTGAATTTAAAACCTGCGAAGATGCTTGGAAATTGCACATAGGCCCAGCGTCAAAATTCAAAGTTTGGTAAAAACGGATATGGCTTGGTCTCCTATATGGCACTGTAGCTTCACGAAATAGTGCCAAAGACATTCATATGGGGTGTCATTTTACTCAGAAGACTTAGCTGAGCATAATTTGGGGGTTTTGAACTTAGTGGCACATATGAAATATACAAAACGCCCAGCAAAAATGCAATCCGTATGTAAAAAATGCACAAAATTATTTTTTACCACATACTTTGGCATATATTGGTGAAAAATGGGGGCATGTTAAGGCACAATATGCACCTTATGAGATACCCTGGAGTGTCTACTTTTACAAATGGTAGGCCTTTGTGGGGGTTTTTTGAACAGTCAAACTGTTATAATACCCCAAATGGAAGCTAAGGCTCATTAAATCCATCTCTCAAAATTCTACTGTGAATACTGTAAAGGACAGGTCTCCTATATGGCACTGTAGCTTCACGAAATAGTGCCAAAGACATTCATATGGGGTATCATTTTACTCAGAAGACTTAGCTGAGCATAATTTGGGGGGTTTGAACTTAGTGGCACATATGAAATATACAAAACGCCCAGCAAAAATGCAATCCGTATGTAAAAAATGCACAAAATTATTTTTTACCACATACTTTGGCATATATTGGTGAAAAAATGGGGGCATGTTAAGGCACAATATGCACCTTATAAGATACCCTGGAGTGTCTACTTTTACAAATGGTAGGCCTTTGTGGGGTTTTTTTGAACAGCCAAACTGTTATAATACCCCAAAATGGAAGCTAAGGCTCATTAAATCCATCTCTCAAAATTCTACTGTGAATACTGAAAAGGACAGGTATCCTGTATGGCACTATAACTTCACGAAATAGTGCAAAAGACATACAATGGGGGTGTCATTTTACTCAGCAGATGTAACTGAACACAAAATAAAACTTTGTACAGGAATAACACACACCAATTTTACAAAATATACACGAGAATTTCTCTGTTATAAGTTTGTGTGCCAAAAACCAAAAAGAACACAATTTTACTCCAATATTTAGCAGAGGTTGGCGGTGAAATGGCTACGTAGAAAGTGTCAAAACAACCTTAGGTAAATAGCCCGTGATGTCTACTTTATATAAATATATACTTTTGTGTGGCAATTTTGTTTTCTTTTATGGCTATTAAGCTTACAAGACAAACATACCAAATTCTAAAATCGCTCCACATTAAAAGTTTATTTTACTCCTTGTGCTTTGTGACCTGTAACTACCAAAAAAAACTTAAAATCCCAGACACATTATATATTCTGTAAATCAGAACAAATAAATAAATTTATTTTTAATTACTTTCCTTAACCTGCACTAATTATACACACATTATTATTGCAAAAACTGTAAAAAAAAACAATATTTTTCATTTTTTTTGCATTTTTCTGTATTTTTTTTATAATAAGTAAGCATTTATATATATATATATATGTTATATCAAATTAAAGCCCTTTCTGTCCTTTAAAAACAGTATATAATATGTGTCGGTGCAATAAATGAGAGAGATGCAAATTGCAGTTGAACGCAAACAGCAAGAAAATGCAAAAATTGCTTGTGTCATTAAGCGTAAGTCAAGCTTCTGAAGCTGTGTCCTTAAGGGGTTAAGCATATTAGGTGATGTGCATCTCTGTAATGAGAAGGGGTGTGGTCTAATGACATCAACACCCTATATCAGGTGTGCATAATTATTAGGCAACTTCCTTTCCTTTGGCAAATAGGGTCAAAAGAAGGACTTGACAGGCTCAGAAAAGTAAAAAATAGTGAGATATCTTGCAGAGGGATGCAGCACTCTTAAAATTGCAAAGCTTCTGAAGCGTGATCATCGAACAATCAAGCGTTTCATTCAAAATAGTCAACAGGGTCGCAAGAAGCGTGTGGAAAAACCAAGGTGCAAAATAACTGCCCATGAACTGAGAAAAGTCAAGCGTGCAGCTGCCACGATGCCACTTGCCACCAGTTTGGCCATATTTCAGAGCTGCAACATCACTGGAGTGCCCAAAAGCACAAGGTGTGCAATACTCAGAGACATGGCCAAGGTAAGAAAGGCTGAAGACGACCACCACTGAACAAGACACACAAGCTGAAACGTCAAGACTGGGCCAAGAAATATCTCAAGACTGATTTTTCTAAGGTTTTATGGACTGATGGAATGAGAGTGAGTCTTGATGGGCCAGATGGATGGGCCCGTGGCTGGATTGGTAAAGGGCAGAGAGCTCCAGTCCGACTCAGGCGCCAGCAAGGTGGAGGTGGAGTACTGGTTTGGGCTGGTATCATCAAAGATGAGCTTGTGGGGCCTTTCGGGTTGAGGATGGAGTCAAGCTCAACTCCCAGTCCTACTGCCAGTTCCTGGAAGACACCTTCTTCAAGCAGTGGTACAGGAAGAAGTCTGCATCCTTCAAGAAAAACAGGATTTTCATGCAGGACAATGCTCCATCACACGCGTCCAAGTACTCCACAGCGTGGCTGGCAAGAAAGGGTATAAAAGAAGAAAATCTAATGACATGGCCTCCTTGTTCACCTGATCTGAACCCCATTGAGAACCTGTGGTCCATCATCAAATGTAAGATTTACAAGGAGGGAAAACAGTACACCTCTCTGAACAGTGTCTGGGAGGCTGTGGTTGCTGCTGCACGCAATGTTGATGGTGAACAGATCAAAACACTGACAGAATCCATGGATGGCAGGCTTTTGAGTGTCCTTGCAAAGGTGGCTATATTGGTCACTGATTTGTTTTTGTTTTGTTTTTGAATGTCAGAAATGTATATTTGTGAATGTTGAGATGTTATATTGGTTTCACTGGTAATAATAAATAATTGGGTATATATTTGTTTTTTGTTAAGTTGCCTAATAATTATGCACAGTAATAGTCACCTGCACACACAGATATCCCCCTAACATAGCTAAAACTAAAAACAAACTAAAAACAACTTCCAAAAATATTCAGCTTTGATATTAATGAGTTTTTTGGGTTCATTGAGAACATGGTTGTTGTTCAATAATAAAATTAATCCTCAAAAATACAACTTGCCTAATAATTCTGCACTCCCTGTAGTTTATAGCATGGATTAAATATATAGCCATTTATGTATATGATGGATTTGTTATGTATACAACAGAACTTTTCTCTAGTCTGCATCTTGTTCTAAAGGGTAAATTTGATGTATATGCAATGTATGCAGCAAGGTCAAGAGTGCACCAGAGTGCACCAGAGTACATCTGACTTAATTAGTTAAGTCTAAACTTACATTCAGTAGCAGAGTTCTAAAAATGGAGCAGTAACAATATAAAACGGATGTTCCTACTTATTGCTCTACCTTAAATTGTTATTCCCAGAAATTAGCGTTACACGTAATGCCATGTTTATAAATACATCTTTGTATTTCTAAAGTTAGAATATCCTTTTAACAATGAGGTAAAAATTCTCCCTTCTTTTTATCTCATAATCTCTTGTCCAAATCAGCTCTTTTTGCGTATTAGTAATGGGAATTGTTTGGAATTGACAGTGGATTCACAGAGCCTTTCAAACTGGCAGTTCTGCTACTTTGACCCAAATGTGACATGCTTATTTGAATTGACTTTGATTTCCAGACTTCAGTGAATAACCCAGTTGCTGTTTAGTGAATCAGTACCTCACAACATTGAGCAAGTGTGTCTAATTATGTTCTTATTCTGCTGTGATTTGCAATACATGTGCAATAGCCTCCAATGGTTCCCTATGGGGAAGCTGTGTTGGCTGTGATGATCAGGTTTTCAGGAAAGAAATTTAAGTAAATCGCTTTAATGTACCCAGGGGGTATACTTTAAATAGTTACTTAGAACACTATAGGATTCGGAATACGTTTGTACTCCTATAGCTAATGTGCTCCTTTACATTTAATCTATACATTGTGCTAGGAAAAATGCTCAAACTTATAGATTTTAATTTAAAATTTCTTTAAATTATTGGTCCCTCACCTGTAAATCAATTCTTCAGCATAGATTTGCCAATACCTCAAAGAAGAATATTTGAGTGACGGGGAGAGCAGGTGAATCTGTCATGCTACTTTGGATTCTGGTGACTTCACTTGCCAAAAGCCATTGTCACTTCATGTGTGAAAGTACAACACAGGGCCTGTGGAGTATCCTGCAAGAATACAGAATCTTCCATAGATAGTTTCACAGTTGGGCAATAAGGTGCCATAGACATCTATTGCTTATCATGTGAGATGATACCTGTTCCCATCATCCTTCGTGAACAACAACTGATGGGAACAACCTTTTGTCCTACTTTGTCTCATTTATATCTTTACGTTTTGTTGGAATTTCGAGATTCTCAGAGTTTTTACTAAAGTATGAATTGAAAGTGAATTTCAAATTTAACGCCAGAGTAGAAACCTAACAGTATAGCGGGCCTTCTTTCAGTTCAACTATTTTTTGTACTTAAATTTGAAATTCACTTCGAAGTCGCTTTGAATTCTCACTTTAGTAAATATGCCTCTCGTGTAAATTTCAAACCTGGCAGAGTTACTTTAAATCTTTACAGCCTAAATAAACAATGTTGAAAATGGTTTCGCCAGTAAACCTAAATTGTTTTTAAATACGGAGAAACTAAAAGATCAGCAGTTTGATATATTTTCCAGTAGTGATTTAAAATGTAAGAACATATTGTAAAACTCAAACTCCCACCACACTGGCTAGTATCCTTACATCTGATCTTTGCTATGGAGACTGGCTGTTGGTTCTCTTATCTAAGATGAAAACCAGAGTGTTCCCAGGCATGTTAGAATTTTTACCGATCTGGTCATTTCCAGTTTGATAGTTTTAAAGAAAAGGGTCGGGCAACTCTTTTTTGCGTCATTTTTTTATACATTCCTAGAAGTGATCATTTTTACACAGATAAACTATTAAAACTTCCTGTTCTAAAACTACGCTGACCAATTATAAAACGAATCTTGTGTTCTAAAACTACTGCATCCGTTTCAGTCAAAAAACCTTGATCAGTTAACAGAGAGCACTGAGTACTTTTCAGTTCTGCTCTAGTCTTCGTCAGTTGATTCCACTCAAATATGAGCGCGTGACTGGAACCTAAGGCTGCCTGATCCGCCGTGTTTTTGTAAACGCATATCATTTATTCATTGTTGATTGACAGCGAATATATGAAAATAACTTTTTTTGTCAAACAAAAAGGTCTTCATTTGTAAATCTGCAGAGACTAGGTCTTTGCACCATAACCTCTTCATTAAATGAGCACTCCACACACATAGGATACTTTAGCTTGCTGAAGTGTTCTGTGTGTATGTATAGTGAACTTTCCACTCTTAATTTGAATTGTGATAATGTGATTTATGACACTGTGTCCTGATTGGACATTTCCCTTTGTACTGTTTCCCAGAAAACTAGTAAAAGCTGATTTGCTAAAAAAAAAGAAAAGAAAAGAAATTGGCACTTTTATAAGTTAACCTTGTGACCCACTCTGGCTGTCAGTCAGACAACCTGCTCCTTCCTGGTTCTCAAGGGGCCCGATTTTTCAGAGCGCCTGCCTTTCAAAGACTTCTCATTGAGCTGCATTAGGAAGTCAGTGATTGGACAGTCACAGAAAAAAAAAAAAAAACATACTTAAATGTGTGCATGGTTCATTGTGGGGAATATTTATTTAATTTATTTATTGGGGGGGCAGCAAAGTGGAAGCTGAAGTGTATGTGGTGCTAACCATTTTATCTATGTGGAATTCTGCAGCATTTAAATGCTGCATACTGCATGACATCCATTTTTATATGCTTCAAATCAATATGTATACATGATATGTCTCCAGCAAAAGAAGACATGTTGGATCTACACCACTAGACTGTCATACAAGTAGAAAGTCAAGTCTTCTGTTTTTACCATGCTGAGGTAAATAGTTCAATGCATTTTAGCCTCCATCTATCCCTCTGGCCAGAACGGAACTAAAAGTGAAGCAGGAGGGAAAAGAAAAATAATTACAAAAAACAATAATATACATATTTCTTTAAATACAAAAAATAATTTACATTTTAAAAACTGGCATTTTCCCTGTATAAATATGTAAATATGTATGTGGGATGTGTCCAGAACTGTCTATGTGGAGGCTGCAAGGTTACAAGTTTAAGATAACCCTTGTGGAGAGCAGAGATAGCCTTATCAGCTGCAGGAGGCTCCCAGGCTCATTGCTGCCTGTTTACATGCTGGAAGCTCAACAGGGTGAATAATTCTGAATCAGAATGCACATCTCTCCGGTATATGTACCAGCTCACATCACCAACATAGCTTGTAGGTAAGGTCATCAGCATGTAATGACTCATTCAATAGGTGTGAGTGTGTGTTTATCTGACAGTAGTGATGTATGTATCACTATATGTATTAGTTAGTAGAGAATGTCAGTATCATTTGTTCTTGCTTAACCTTTTATAAGGTTAGTAATTGTCAGGTTATTAATTCTACAACTTGCAACTCATTTCTCAGGCATCTCCATGGGAAATTGCTGGGTATTATAATGATGGCTAATCAGGTATTTCTGAACTACATTTCCCATAATGCTCAGTTACCCCTAAATAGATTGTCTAGCTAAAATCTACCCATATTTTAATGCATTATATAAATATATTGTTAAAGGGATTGTCTTTATAAAATTACCCATACTTTTAATGCATTATAAATATTTTATTAATGGGGTTGTCTACGGGTTATATTTTAATGCATTACATAAATGATGCATAAAAAAATTGTCTGCAGTTGCAGGCAGACTCTTCCCACACCAGTTGGAAGTGCAAACCACACCAAAAGAGGGCATTTACAAATGTGCGGCAGTCAGTAACTTATTCAACAACTTCTCTCATTTGCTATGATATGGAACTGCAGCTGGTGGTCTGGGATTTGTGGGATATGTTCAGACCCCATGGACCAGAGATGGTCCTTATTGGTAGAGTTCCATCCTGATCTGGGCATAGCTAGTGGCTGCTGTTTGTCTGGGGATTTGCAGCAGCTGAAGTATCTAAGTTTATTTTTTCTTATTTTTAGGTTTAATTTCCATATTTTTAATACATTATAAAATTGAGGTCACTTCCAGCTAGAGTCTCCCTTTGAGCACTCTCCATGGTTTATTAGCCGTATTAACGTTGATTGTTGCAAGCTTCATAGAGTGATATTTCGTTTGGTTCTAGTGGTCCTCAGACAAAATAATTGCAAACAGCTCCAGTAAAACTGCTAATCTGACTCATTTGATTTATTTTGGGAACTTTGCCAAACTGGATGTTTTGTAACATTGTAGTATTTTTTTTAAGAGAACAAATGTGCATGGAGATGAAAAGATAGAAAGCGCAACTCATACACACACTGAGTTTTATGTCTCAACCCTGAAATCCTTGAGTGTATCTATATAACATTTTCCAAAGCTGTTCTCTCTCCAGCTTCTATTACAATGACAATAAAAGGCATTGCGACTTAAAGAGACAGGAAAACAGATAGCTTAGTATAGCAGCCATGTTAAAGGAACACTGCAATCACCATAACCACTACAGTGCACCGCAGTGGTAATGGTGCCAGGAGTGATTTGGTTCCATTCAGTGTAAACAGTCAAACCTTTTTAGATTCTAGAGTCCACTGGCCACCTGTCCTTGCTTCTCCACCTGTTAGTAGCTCCTGCTGGCTCCCCTGAGCTAAGTCCTGCAGTGCAGCGTCAGCTCATTGGCTGAGTTGGGCCCTGCACCACCACGTTCAGCGCAATCAAAGAACGTCTCTCGTAGAGGCAGGGAGCGGTGCATGGTAGACCCAAAGCTTTCTAAAACAGTTAGACTACTTACATGAAGGGGGCGGGGCACTCCAGGCATCATAACCACCAAAGCATGCTGTAGTGGTTATGGTGTTTGAAGTGTTCCTTATAAAGACATATAACATGCATGAAGCAATATTGTAGCAACTTCAATAGCCGAGACTGAAAGTGATACCTCTTGTACCTAATAATAATAATGAATCTCTTTGATATTATGTTGAAATTGTACTCTGATAATTTTGATATAATTTTAAGATTATACACTGGAGGTGTGGTAAATGTATAGTAAATGCTTCATATCGCTAATTAGAAAACGTAATAGGCCCCTCAGATTAAGAAAACCTAATAGATGTTCGGGTCCTTCTACCATCCTCTCCACATGGCAGCGAATGCTCCTATTGAGAGGGTGTCTGTATTACTTCACTGTGGTTCTCTAATCTTTCTTATTCCTCTCCCAACAGAAAAGTTCTCTCCCCCTTACTGTGGTCATCTCTCCCCCTTCTCTCTCCCCCACCAGTGTCTTTCTCTTTGTGACTAACTCTTTTGCTATGCTGCCCTCTCTCATCCATATCCACTCATCTCTCTGCAGCTGCTGTTAGTCTGCAAGGACAATACAAACCAGTCCAGTGAAGAGGAACAGAACAAGGAACCATGCTGAAGGTAAGCAGGCTTACAGCAAAAGTATAGATAAGTATCCCTCTCTCCCCTGAAATAGAGAGGTGTCTAACAAAGTATATTCTTCTGAGAATTGAGCTCTCTATCTAACAGCTGATGTCAGGTCAGATCAAACAATGCTCGGTTACTATAAACAAATATTAGGACAGGCTCAGATAGTGCTGGTTTACAAGTAACGTTATATGGTTACTAATTATCAGGACAGGCTCAGGCAGTGCTGGGTTTATATCTAATGTAAGGCAATCTGACTGAAGATGATCAGGACAGAGTCAGACAGTGCTGGGTTTATATCTAATGTAAGGCGATCTGACTGTAGATTATCAGGACAGGCTCAGGCAGTGCTGTGTTTATATCTAATGTAAGGCGATCTGACTGCAGATTATCAGGACAGGCTCAGACAGTGCTGGGTTTATATCTAATGTAAGGTGATCTGACTGCAGATTATCAGGACAGGCTCAGACAGTGCTGGGTTTATATCTAATGCAAGGTGATCTGACTGCAGATTATCAGGACAGGCTCAGACAGTGCTGGGTTTATATCTAATGTAAGGCGATCTGACTGCAGATTATCAGGACAGGCTCAGACAGTGCTGGGTTTATATCTAATGTAAGACGATCTGACTGCAGATTATCAGGACAGGCTCAGACTGTGACAGTGCTGGGTTTATATCTAATGTAAGGTGATCTGGATAATACCAGAAGTGTTTACTTTCTATATCTTATATATCTGTGTATGTACTTGTGTCTTGTCCACCAACTGCACAGCTTTGTGGAGTATGTTGGTACTTTAAAATACCACTACACATTAACCCCTAAATTACCCTAAAACACTACATTATCAGGAAACAGTAAACTCTACTCTGCACATTAACCCCTACTCTCCAATAAGAATTAACCGTTGCACTACTTGAATACTTACACTAACATTAACCCTAATTAAAAAATATAATGTAATCTAAAACACATATATAACGATGAAGCATTTATTATGTAACTTTCAAACAAACAGATTATTCAAGTTTTTCCTGGAAGACCCTCTACATCTAACAACTAATGGGAAGTTACCAGACTAACAAATCCAAAAAACATGTATTTTTAGCCATGAAACTATCCAAGACACTGATTCATAACAAATGGTTTTTATTACAGCTACTAGGCTGTGCTGCAATATGTACTCCATGGAATACTTTTAACAGTAATAATGTATGGTTTTTATATAGTCATGCCCACATTGTCCATCTGTTAGAGGAACTCTCTAGTCAACATGGGCAATACAGCGCTTTGGTGGTTATGGTGCCAGGAGTGCCATGGAACCCTCCCAGTAGTCAAACAGTTTGCCAATCTAATTGGGGTCTACCCAGTGCGGGCCTCCTTCTTAATGGGAGTTGGAAGCTAGGCACTGCGGTTTTAGACACTCTCAGTCAAGGAGCTGGCCCTACAAGACAGGGCTTAGCTCGGGAGAGCTTTGTGAAGCTCCACACAGCAGCTTGCCGCGTAACCCCCCAACACTGGAGTCCCGAGAAGCGGCGATGGTGGAGGGATGTAAAGTGTCACGGCCAATGATGTGATTGTATCACTGGCTCTGCCCAAAGGAAGAGGTCCGTACAAATTACTGGCTGCCTGCCAACTATCCAGGCCGGCCCACCTGAGTTGATGCGCTCGCTATACACTTTTTGGGCACAGTTCACTGAACAAAGTCCTGAAAACTGTAACTGTCCTGCTGTAATCTGGATGTTTGGGTGGCATATTATAGCTCTCAGACCAGGAACAGTTTAACCACTTACATTAGGGGAGCAGCAGGCACTCCTGGCCCAATAACCACTACAATGCGCTATAGTGGTTATGGTGCTAGTATCTTCCTTTAATAAAACATGTTTAAGACATTATAGATATGCTGCTTGTAGTTAACGTTCCTTCCCCAGCAACATTTTCTTACAAGCTGGTATGATTCATGTTCTTTGATCCAATTTCTTAGCCTTGTCTGTGTCACATGGTGCATGGATAGACAAGGGATTAGCCTGCTTTCATTCGGATCATTCTTGCATTCATTTTGCTTTCACAGACACGTTTCACTCTTGTTGTGGGATCTCTTCTTATATAACACTGAATTCCCTCCTAGTGTGAAGTCTGCACTCTGTAGTCTGTTGTTGTCATGGTTTATGGTGGATCTGGCAATTTGATTTAAAAGAGCAACCATTACATTCACTCATTTATATATACATACATTCATTGTATTGTTTCCTATTTTCTTGCTGTTGTCATGCTTTTCTTTTGTATGTTTTAGTATATAAATGTAATAGATCACAAAATGCCACCATTAAAAATATGACATAAATATGGTCAGTGATAGCGCTGCACATATGAGCATTTAATGTACTTAGATTACCCTGTAATCCTAAATGCACATATTGAAAATACATCCACAGTGACAGTATTATTAGCTTTGTGACAACTCTGCCCTACTATGTAACGCCATTACCCAAGTGCTAAATTATTCTCAACATTTTTGTTGTTCTGCTGTAATTAAATGTTTTTTTATAGATCTGGACAGTCTAGTTCCCATGGTAGTACTAGATGTTTACCTATCATTTTTATTTGTTACTTTCAAGGAAATATACTAAGACTTAACTGATGTAAGTGGGTCAGTACTAAGATAAAGAACACCATGTATTTTAAATTATATTGTACAGTGAATTTAAATTGAGCAATAGTGCAGCGATGTTGAGTTGAACTCAGGGAGTTAAAATACACTTGGCTGCAAAAAAATGTTGTGGGGTTTTGGTGATTAAAAGAGGCATTAGATTATATTTAAATAGTATGAAGGATTGGAAGAGGTAGTACAGTGGTGGAAAAGGGGGGTCGAGGTCTAGAAAATTGGGCAGACTAGATGGGCCGAATGGTTCTTATATGCCGTCACATTCTATGTTTCTAGAGGACAATGGATTGCATGCACATTAAGGGCACTGTGGTTTAGGGATCAACCGATTATCAGTTTGGCCGCTAATATCAGTCGATATTCGGTATTTTGGCAAATATAAGTATCGGTTTAAATGACATTGATATTTGTCGATAATAGGTGAGAAGGGGCGGTCTGCCCCAGGTGCCACTCACATTGTAGAGCGAGCGGTGGGGATCCAGCACTCGATATCTTCTGTTTCCAGCAAGTCCTCCCTCCAGCTTGGAGAGAACCCTGCCTGAAACAGGAGATAGCGAGTGCTGAGACCCCCTGGCAGCCTGTGTATACCCAGCCACTGGACCACCAGGGAGTGTAAAGTTCCTCTCCCTGGCCACAGGTAAAATGCAGCAGGCAAGAATTTTGGTATCAGTTAAATGCCCATAAGGCCACAGATCATCGGTATCGGTCCTTGAAAATTGATATAGGTCTTTCCCTACTCTGGTTATGACGGATAGTGGAATGCAGTCTCGTAGAGAGTCTGAGAGCCTCAGTGGTTTCGAAAAGACATTGGTGGGGTGTATGGAGAAAAGGATGGGTTGGAGGGGATCAAAAAGGGAACAGTGGTGAGGAAGCTCTGAGCTGTACAAGCTATGGGCGTATTCTACATTCTGACCTAAATCACTGTTTTTCATTTGCGTTAATCACATTACTTTTCCTTCTTCAGAATTAAAAACACATGTGCACTACAATAGTGTAAACACGTTAGATTCTCATTTCCCTTGTTTTAGATTCTAGCTACATTCCTTTGAATAGTTCAAGCCAAAATACAAATAATTTTTTTTTTAACATCTTGGTAATTTATGCCATATGAAATTGATTTACAATAGTAATGAAGCAAAATATTCTTCATGTGCTAATCACCCTGTGTTGGAAACATCAACAGGTGACATATTTTACACGATAACTTCACTCTCTGATACCCATTATTACTGTACTATAATACATTAAATATTAATATTGCTTGTCTAGGAACAAAAATCAGTCTGCACAGAATTTTTCCTTTCCTTGGTGGTATAGTGGGGCTGCTGGAGTGCTGGAGGGTGCCACTCCTTCCCTGTAATGGCTGCAAGATGTGGGAGTTATAGAGGATTGTGATGTTTCCTGCATGGTCCTCTGATAATTAACTTCCCGTACGCAGTGATACTGTGGGAATAGGCTCCTGTGTTATCACAGTTCTCATTAAATCCAAGTGGGAATTATCAGAGTCCCACTCAAATTTTAATCACAAGCATCTATAACTCCCACATATTGTGACCATCATGGTGTAACTGTAAAAATCCAGATGGCCTTTATATAACCCATCAGCTCACTTATATACATGTATAATTCTACTTGGGAAGCCCTCCTGATCTAACCAGTTTTCATTGGTCCGGGACCTTTCCAGTGAACCATGCAATTTGTCAAGTTTACCCAATGGCTAGTCTGGGTTCTCTTGAATGCAATTTTCTTCCAAAAAAATAAATATAAATATTTATATATATATATATTTATACTCTTACTGTCTACCTTCACTTTGACTCCATCCTACACACATACATGCATGCATATTTATAGTATGCATATTGATAGTAAACATTAATTAATGCAGAAATCAGTTTAGAAAATATAAAATAATGAAAGAAATTAAAATAATGCTTCCATTTATACGTTCAGTGGATTCAGAAGAATTTAAACCTTATTGATTGTTTTATATGATATGTGAATGTTTTATTTTGCTCTCAATATCTATTTTTCTTCTCCTCATATGATTTAAGCATATGATGCATTCTATTCATTTTTAGCAGATTTCTTTTTTGGTTTAGTCATTTTCTTTTTATTCTTTTTTTTAGTGTGGAAAGATGGTAATTTAAGTGTCTGTTCACTACAATATTTCCTGCATGGGATAGACAAAGGTTTATTGTCTATCTTTGAAAGGACATTTGGGTGAATGTGATATGATGAAGTCATATCAAGAGTGTCTCATATCGTTTGAGGAATGTACTCACTGTTGCCAAATAGGAGGCATCGAAACTTCTTTCTGATAATGTAATGACTTGAGCTGGTGCTGGATAGCAGTGAAACATGCTGTATACAAGAGCATCATTCACAGATAATGTATTGTTTAAAACAGGTGGTTTACTAGATGTTGTTGACCCTTGTAAAACAGCAATCTTTTGACAGGAAATGGCAGGCTGAGGATTATATTAGTTGTGGTTTAAATACAGTATGAGAGTTGTAGGTTACTAATGGTGGTCCTCTAAAATTAATGATTTTAATGATAAACAACATATATAGTATAAGCCTGAATATGTGCAAATAGAACTCTCCAGTTTAAAATAGGTTCACTTTAGTGGCCAATAACATATACAACAAGTAGAAATGTCCTCCATAGAAAAGGTAAAAGCATCCGCATCGAAAGCTCGAACTTTCGAAACTCGATGGAAAGAGACTAGACAAAGAAGGAGAGTTAATTTTGCAGAAAATTGTCTCAGGGACAGATGGAGTACTTCGGGGCCAAATCTGGGCTACATCCTAGAGTGTGGAGTACTTCGGGGCCGGTGGTCTTGGCAGTCGAATGCCCCGATGTAGGTGACAAATAGGAGGGTCCTGACCTATGGGTTTCCTTCGGACCGGAGTATGAGTGGCCGAGATCGCTGAATGGACCACATTGATCGATAGATAAAACGTACCTTCCAAGAACAGAAATGCCAGAAAATTCAACATGGAGGGGACAGAGGCCATAAAGGGATCGAGATCCCGTCCTACACACCAATTAGATCATGAAAGCCAAGCTGAGAGGTAACATTTCCTAGCTCCTGGAGCCCATGATTCCCAGAGGATGTCTTTAGCCTCCGCCGATAATTCCTCAGTGCACCATGATCCCCTGAAAGAGTCCAGGCTACCAAAGATAGGTGTTCGTCTAGGAGCATCAGATGCGGGTTCCCCATGGGGTCTTTGAGCATCGTTTGGCCGAATGGGAGGAGGAGAGGGTCCTTGCATGATACAGCCAGAAGGTCCGGGAACCATGGTTGACTTGGCCATAGAGTGGTTAATAGGAGAACTGTCACTATCTGAAACCTGATGTGGTGCAGTAATCTTGTGATCATTGGCGGGAAGGCGTATGTGCCTCTGGTCGGCCAATTCTGTAGGAATGCATCCACTGCCGAACACTCGGGATTCAGGAGCCAAGTGGAGAAGGTTGGTAGTTGTCGGTTGGTGCAAGACACAAAAAAGGTCTACCTCGAGTGGGCCTCTCCATTCGTTTAGCACCGCAAATATGCGAGGATCCAATTGCCAGTCGCTGCTGCCCGCCAGTGTCAGGAGAACCAGTCCGCCGTCAGGTTGGTATTCCCCGGCAGATGTTCCGCCATCAGCGTTATGTTGCGTGGTAGACAGTACCAGGTCTGTTGGCATCTGGGACTCTTCCATGTTAGGCACTGGATTTACCCACAATCAGTGAATATCTTTTGGTGGATAGGCACATTGGGGCAGATAGTCAGCAGGGACCACCTGGGGTTTTGAAATGGCCTGTATATATAAGGCCCACGTATAGGCAGACAAAATTCTAGGGGTCACCCAGAAACAAGGAGACAGCTCCTCTCAGCAGTGCTAATAAATGGGGACTCACCCCAAGCCCGCGTACTCGGTAATAACCTGACCGGCTAAGCCCTTAAAGGTTTACTAACCTCTAGCAGGTCCCTGAGAGTAGATAATAAGCAGGAAATTAAATCAATTCCACAAGTTTTTCTACACAGCACTAAGAAAAAGCGTCCACACAGAATAACTCCAATACACACTCAGCATTTAAAATGGCCACCTGGACTCTCGCTTATGCAAGATCCAAAATGGCCACTGAAAAAAAGCCTGCAAATCCGCGTTAGAGTTTGCGGAAAAAACTCCAGAATGAGGAGATAGAAAAAAAAAAAAAAACTAACAGTGCTAAGCCGTGAATGCCGTTGTTCATGAACAATTGTTCATGGAAATACATACGAAACTGATGGGAACAAAACTACCAAACACAAGTGGCTTGTTTTAGTCGCTTTCGGTAGGTATGATGTGGATATTATGCAACCGCTGGTGCCTACTAACAACCGTGTGTTTGTGGGAAGTCAGCTAAGAGGGAAAATGTCACCGAACGCTTAACGCAATGTACGCGGTTGGGTGAAATGTCCCGAACAGATGAAAATCGCTGTACAAATGCGAACGCCAGACGAATAGGAGAGCCTCCCAGGCGCTTTACACTCACCGCAGTGAGCACATGAGTGTTGTGGGGTATACCTAGATTGATTTTAAACCATCAGTATAACCCGGAAAGCAGAACCTGTGGGGAAAGGGAAAAAAACTGAGAAGGGGAATAGGGAAAACCTAACCCTCAAGCACCATAGAAAGGGTGCAAGATCTCTCAACTTCCCACAGAAATATATACAAAATATGCTAGGAACACGGTAAAAGTAATAATAGTAATACAATAAAATAATGACACAATAATATTCTGACCTGACTTGTGATGGAGCAGCAAAGAAAGAGGAAGTGCCTCAGTGAGAGTAGCTTGATATATACTCTGCTTGTCTTTTATTGGTCGTTTCTTTTTATATGTTCTTTGCTGCTTTTGGAGTAGTAAAGGAAGTTAATGCAAAATATGAAGCCTCCTTTCATGTGATAAAATGATGACTTTATTGTCTCCAATGTCCGTTTAAAAAAAGAGAACAAGCAGTACACAGAGTGGGCACGAGACACTCAAAGGCACTTCCTCCGAAACATCTCCCCTACCTTTGGCACAGGTTATAACAGTTTATTCATAACATAAATATGATAAATGGGAATATTAAAACAATTAGATTTGGACTAATTTCATATCCATTAATCAAGGATTAACCCATGAACATGGAAAAAGTAAGAGGATAAGTCAACTAAACCTGGATTGAGTGCCGCACACCAATAAACATTATGTAATGAATGTACGATTATAACCTGTGTCAAAGGTAGGGTAGATGTCACTGAAAAAGTGCCTTGGAGGCATGAAACACATAAGCGTCTCTCGCTGTGCCCCCTCCCATTCCCTCACCCCTGTGTACTGCTTGTTTTTCTTTTTATACGCACGTTGAAAGGAATAAAGTCATAATTTTTCCTCAGTACGGATACTTGTCCTATAGTTTGAACCCGATGTTGCAGTTGTAATATACCTCTCCAATACCGATGTTCTTTGTCTTTCATTTACCTAACCTAATTCTGTTTTCTTTGACTTTTCATAGGTCAACAGAGCTCTGCTTGGTCACAGCAAACTGGCAGTCTTTTTCATCCTCTTGTTTGGAGCGGTCATTTCTGCTAGCAATGAGGTGAGAGGATCATATATTAAAGAAATAGTTTACAGTTTTGGTTGTGGAACATGCAGTGGTGTATCCTGGTTTTGTGCTGCCCTAGGCAGGACAAAACGCAGGTGCCCCCCTCTCCCCCCGCGCAAACCCCCCCCGCCTTCTAAATACACACACACACACATTCACTGACAGATACGCATACACTCGCTAACAGAAACACACACACACTAACACACACACTAACAGACACACTCACACTCACTAACAGACACACACTCACTAACACACACACTCACACAGTCAGACACACACACACTCACTGACACACTAACAGACAAACATAGTCAGACACACACACTAACAGACACACTCACTCACTAGCAGACACACACACACACACTAACAAACACACACATTAACAGACACACACTCACTGACACACACACACACACACAGGCAAACACACACTCACTGACACACAGTCAGACACACACACATACACACTAATAGACACAGTCAGACACACACACACTAACAAAACACACACACATTAACAGACACACACTCACTCACATTAACACATTTTTTTATTTATTTTTATTTAGCCCCCCCTCCCTTACCTTTGGGAGTGCTGGGGGGGAGGGGTTCATTACCTCCCTGGTGGTCCAGTGGATGCCGGCGGCGCTGGGCAGGCGGCTGGCGAGGGAGCTCTTCCCCTGAGCAGTCTGCTCAGCTCCCTCGCGCGCCGCAAAGTGAGGCTGGGAACCGGAAGATGATGTCATCTTCCGGTTCCCAGCCTCACTCTGCGGCGCGCGAGGGAGCTGAACGGACTGCTCAGGGGAAGAGCTCCCTCGCCAGCCGTCTGCCCAGCGCCGCCCGCCAGCCCAGCCGGTCAGTTAGCCGCGATGCTAACAAAGCATTTGCCTGGGCATTTGGGGGTGCGTCGTTTTTTGCCGCCCCCTGAAAAATGCCGCCCAAGGCAAATGCCTTGTTTGCCTCGCGGCTAAAACGCCCCTGGGAACATGCAATACATCCTATTTGTACTACATGATCTTGACTTACTCAACCTATTCCTACCATTCCTGAAATCATATTCATTAAAGATCACTAAGGAGTCATTCAGATTTCCAGCACTAAATACCAAAATTTATTAAAGTTCCAGGTGGTTAGTTTTCAGACAGTACTCCGACTCTTATTGGTTCCACTTCAATAACCAGGATGGCAGTTGCAGTACAATGACCAATTGGGGATGGCAAATTCCCTAACGTTATGTTATAAAATGAATGCCAGTTCTAGATTGAGATCCACATACTGTACTATAATCCTGTGTTAGGATTAGGTTACTCAGTGATTCATTCCTCTAACAGAACATACCTTTCTCCTTATGGGTGCTTTAGTAGTTGTAAGGGTGCATGAGATTAACAAATATGTGTTTTGAGAAGCATGAATAGAAACTCTGGCCCTGATAGGACATGTAGCAACTCAAGTTATGCTTTTAGTTTAAGTTTTTCTTTAATTATAGCTAGACAGTGGATATCCAATGACACCATCTAAGATGTGCCAAAATACACTTATTGTTTCCATTCTGAGTGTTGCAACTGAATCACTGACATTTAACCCAATAATAAAATATTTCATTACGGTATATATACGTGTTTGAACAGTAAACCTGGTTTGTGCCAATTCTGAAGTCCTTTCTTCTGCTACTTAATTGAGGTATTTTCTTGTGTAGTGGACTCTTTCCTCTAATACCAAACCTGCTTTTATCTTGTACCTAGGGTTTTCACCAGCGGATGAAGCGAGGAACAAGAGCAAACAAATGTAATTACTACTAAAAATTTTACCTTGAAGTTGGCTAAGCACCAGGTGGGCAGAGACAGGCGAATCCTAGTAGGAAGGAGACTAGGGGAAGGGTGACAGTGGCATGAGATGCACATTTTGGAATCTGTGAAGGCATCACAGGAAAATGAAAAAACAAACATTGAGCCAAATTAATGTGAATGCACATATTTAAGCAGGATGGGGATACAAATTTGTTCTAGGTGGGGATGTTGATGGACCACATATTTCTTTGTAAGCTGTTCACCGCTATAAAAAATACATTAGCAAGTTCTCTGATATTTCGAATGTCAATGCAAGAAAAATAACCTTTAAGGATTAAATTCAAAGCCCTACAACAGGACATATTTCCTGTGCTTACCTTCCATTTTTCTCCCTGCTAACAGCAATATGTGTGGAACGTGTCTCGGGAAGAATCTATAATGGAGGTGATAGCTGGCTGCGACCTTCTGGCAAAAGAGTAGAGTTCTGTCGCTGTGAGAATGGGCGAAGAAAATGCCATAGTGTGCCAGTCACAGGTGAGATATTGGCTCTGGCAAGAAGATGCTCACCGTACGCTAGTAAGATAAAGTCATATCAGCTTAATGATAGCATAAATCATCTTGGGTCACAAAATATAGGTGGTTCCACCCAAAATACCATGCATATGGGATACATGCCAATGTTTTAATAATAATTATTCCAGAAGGAATTTATCAAGAATAATTTTTTCCTTGTAAAACATATTAAACATATTAAAAAGCAATATACGCATATAAATTCTCACATACTTCAATCAGTACAATCATTTTTTTTTAAATTAATTTACTGGGATTAATTTATACTACTGATTCTTAAAAGATCCTACATGTAGACAGCCTTGTTTCCCCTGCAGCCACAACACTCGTATTATATATAGTCTTACCCCAGTCTATGGAGTAAACTGAAATATTTCACTACATAAGATACACAGTGCCATGGTGCTCATAAAAGGTGAGGCAGAGATAGGAATTCACACCGTCTTATTTCTCTCAACAGATTGCAGTGTACCGCAATGTTTCAATGGAGGACGCTGCCAGCAGGCTTTGTACTCCTCACACTACCTGTGTCAGTGTCCGAATGGCTTTAAAGGGGAGAACTGTGAAATAGGTACTTGGAAAAGCCACATAATATAGTGGTGCTACCTACTTCTGTAAACAATAAGAAATAAACTATGTATAGTATTGAGAGAATATATAGTATAAGATATATACCAATTAATGGAGCGCTATACAAATAAAAAATTGTGCAGGGGCTCGCTAACCCCATCAATTGAATGTAACAACAAACTTGGAAATACAAACTTGAAGGTATATATGAAAAAGAAATACCTTCAAGTTTGTATTTTCAAGTGTGGTGTTACACTCAATTGATGGGGTAAGTGAACCCCTGCACAATTTTTTGATTTGTATAGCGCTCCACTAATTGGTATGTATCTTATACCATATATTCTCTGGGTACTTAAGATTGATTGTGGAAATACAGGTATTTCACTTTATGTGTTGAGCTGCTCTCTGTTTAGGCACTATATTGGATCACCCACTACCTCTGAAGAGAGGTAGCTTTTGTTTTTCTTTTGTATGTACAGTATTGGTCTTACATAAAACAAAAAAATGCCGCTCTGTATGATGGTGCTGAGTATGTTGAGCAGATATTGGAACGTAGTGACACATTCATGTGCCCTGATACATGAATTTGTAGTGACCTCTTAGAGTGAGAATGTCCAAAACTCCAGCTATAATGGGCAGGAACAATGCCCTAAATGGTCCAGCAAGTCTGCTGCTATTGAACGTTACCTTCTCTCTCTTTCTCACAAACTGTCTTAATATCTTACTGGAGTGACATAGAAAGGGAACATAATATGTGGTCAATTTTTGTATGCCGAAATAACTGGAGAATGGCAATATGCAAAGATACTTTCTATTGGACTAATAAGATATAGTAAAAGATGAGCTTTCATAGAGTTTTCTCTCTTTTTAAGGTCAAAAGCAATGCTAATCAATCTAATGGAATTTTAATATTTGTAACATAAGACACAATTTTTGTAATAATACTTAGAATGTGTATTCTACAGATACCCTCGAAGCCTGTTATGAGGGCTCAGGCACCACATATAGAGGAGTTCATAGCGTCACTCAGAGTGGAGCAGTCTGTGTGAACTGGAATTCAGAGGGCATTAGGAGACAGCTATACCATGGACATCGGAGTGATGCTTTGCAACTGGGACTAGGAAACCACAACTACTGCAGGTAATGCGTGCTGTGCTTTACAAGATAGCAGATGTTTAAGAAGATGGTTTTCTGTTTTCTTCATGCAAATAATCCATATTCTTGATATGTGGTCATATGGTCACAGTAGAAATAACCACATACTAATATATTGCTCTCACGTTCCATGTCTCTATAGCATTAAATTAGAGGGGCAAAGATTTAAAAATAATATCCGGTAGTATTACTTTACTGAGAGGGTAGTGGATGCATGGAATAGCCTTCCAGCTGAAGTGGTAGAGGTTAACACAGTAAAGGAGTTTAAGCATGCGTGGGATAGGCATAAGGCTATCCTAACTATAAGATAAGGAAATTGGGCAGACTAGATGGGCCGAATGGTTCTTAGCTGCCGTCACATTCTATGTTTCTATGTTATTTTGCTCCTTCCTGCAATGCAGAGTGGTACACTAATAGATCTTCTATATCTGAATGTTATTCCTTCATGACTCCGAAAAGCCCATTGTTTGTGGAAGATGGAGGTTTAATATTTTATCAATCAATAGGGGATTCTCGCATTTAGTGCAACAGTCAAGAAGAAGTAAATACTGGACAAAACTGCTATCAACAGAATACATTTGATGGGCAGAGGATAAAATGATGGAGTGCAAAGGAACAATAGCCGGGGATGTTATATGTGGAGGGAAGCTAGATGACATTATAACAGAATATGGAATGGGGGGATGATGAGATAAGGAGAGAGAACTATTAAGAGTAACAGAGCAGAATTAACCATAATTCAACATTGGGGGGCTACTTAGGGTTCAGGGGTCAGACGTGGCCCATAACCATGAGTTTGCTTTCCCCATCAACCATTCATGTTGAAGAATTAAGGAGGGATTCAAATTGGTTATGGGATCTTAATCCTTCTCTAGAATAACCTTTCTGGGATGAAGTTCTTAGATCAGGTTTGTGCTGATGGATCCGAAGCTTTTGAAATATTCTTATGGAGTAAAAAGAATAGGATGGGTGCCTCATGCAATCTGAGAGTTTGAAAATTTAGACGGTCCATGTCAATCTTAAATTAATACAATTTAAATGGTCTGACTTACAGCTAGGAGAAATACTAAAATGTCTTTCTCTCACAGGAACCCTGACAATGATTATAAACCCTGGTGCCATGTATTTAAGGATGGAAGGTACACATGGGAGTTTTGCAGTGTGCCAGCTTGCAAAGTTGGTAAGTACCACAAGAGGGCATTTGCATATTTCTATTTTTTTTTTTATTCTTTATTTTTTCTGTGCAAGTGATTGACAAACATGTTTAACGTGCCACAACAGCACACATTCGCTTTACATCATAGGCATAATCATGGCACATGTAAGTTGCACATTTTTCTTTTTTTTATAATAAACATGGCTGGCTAGTGTAAGTCATGAGGTATAGAAATAAAAATGGTAGATACATTATGCTTAGCTGACTGACAGTGTGTTGAGTAGTTATAAGAATCATCAGATTCTACAAGCTTAGACCAAGAAGTTATATGACATGAGTATTCGTATGATTTGACAATCATCCCGTTTTGGTTAAGGAGATGTGCTTAGTTACTCTAAGGGATATCGCAGAGATTGGCTGACTAAGAGGATTTCTTATGCATTTTCAAACAGACAAGCCCGCAGTGTTACGGTGACAATAGTAAGCTTAGAGAGACATGGTTTATCATATGCATGACATTAGTGTTAACTGCACGTTTCCTAAGTCAGTGAATGTCGTGAGGCATGACAAGCAGAACAGTGTAGATAGAAAAAACCAAACAAAACCAAACAAAAAAAAAATAAGGCACATTAGAAAAAGAACAATAAAACATATGACCTGGATACTCACTGATTGTGGATCAGGGTCCTGATCTGCGTGTTGTTACAGTGTCCCGTGAGGTTTTATTTAGGCATGGCCCCAGCTCCACATGTCCTTAGGTACCTTTCCTCTCACCTGACGCCCTCTGGGTTTATCGGTCTGTCCAGCTTGGCGGTAGTTTGCCAATCCGTGGTTCTCACGCTTGGTGAGTAAGTGTCCATCTCATTTCGGATTGTGGGGCGGCTGAGAGGGTGTCTCATTGATTTTGCTATGCTGCCTAGGACCGGCGCTGGTACGGTGGGGTGCTGTCTTGGGCTCCTATGCTTCAGAGTGGTCTGCAGGGCAAAGCCACTCACCGGGGTCGTTATCACTTCCACTATTACTGGTGTGTCGACAGGCTTAAGAATCGGTAATGTCCATTCACGTGGTGCCCGCTGCTGCTGGTGCGGTGTATGCCGCTTTACTCTCCGCCATTTTGGGGCCTTCCTCACTTCCGGAGCCCCGGGCTGCCGCTGGGCGAGAATCCGCCTGAGAGGTGAGTGTTTCGTCGGGGACTCTTGGTGCGTCCGATGCTTTGGGGCTAAGTCCCTGTTGGCTCTCTGCCCAGGTTCGATCCTCTCGGCTAAACTGGGCGTTCACGCGCTTGGTTGGCGCGCGGCGGCCATCTTACGGCCCTCCTGAGGGGCGCTGTCCGGTGGATATTGCGCGCCAGGACAGCTGCTCAGGCCCGGCCTGGTGTGATGGCTGGCACCCTGACAGACCGAGATAACCCCCAGGGGTCCAGGGGGGGGGAGCAAGACGCCGGCCGGAGACCCGGGAAAGCGGCCGTCTCATCCCGGCTCAAGCTACAGCGAGCTCTGGGCCCCTGTCGGATTGCTGTCGGTGCTTGGGCGGTATCCCCCCGCACCTCAGCGGCTGGGGTGTCAGTGTGGTCACCTTCGTGGGTCATTATTCGGGATTGGCCTCCAGCTAGCTCCGATTTTCGGACCCTGGAGCGGGAGCTCAGACAGAGCACGTCTGATCCCGCTGGGGGTCAGGCTCCACCCCCCATATTTCTATTTTAATTTTCTAAACTTCTTCTTGGATCTAAGCACCACATCCACTACACCATATTGTAGTTGTTATGGCGCAAAGGGTCTTGGGGTGTCCTCCTCCTATTTTTGTTAAATAACTTTGAGCATTTTTTTTAAATATGAGTCACTCAGCGCTCACATTCCTCGATCATGGTTGCACAGATTTGGAAAGGTAAAGCAAAACGGAAATTTCCGTTTTATCAGAATGGCAGCAGAGGGAGTAGGCGCTGAGAGGGCCTAAAATTTTGTCCATGTGCTCAAAATAGTTGCAACACATACGATACAAGTTATTCAAGGTTTCTATTCATCTGTTTCTTATACCACAGAAAGTGGTCTCAAAATAGAAGAATTATCTTCCTAAGAATGTCTCTTCCTAAACACAATGCAATGATGTGGTTAAATATGACATTAATGTAACAATAAAAGTGTGTGCATTATATTTCCCACGTTTGGAACGCAAACTCATTTTTGAATGATTGTTTTCAGATTCTCCTACTTGTTACTATGATCGTGGCACAACATACCGCGGATCACAGAGCGTAACATTCTCAGGGGCACCATGTTTGCGCTGGGATTCACCATTATTACAGCACAAAGTAAACACAGCATGGCACAGCAATGCCCGCAGACTTGGGATGGGAAGCCACAATTACTGCAGGTAAGGTTCAGCTCCTGGACACAGGCAGCAGTATACTGTATGATTTACCTGGAAATGTCTGACAATGTCCTTTATGTTTTATAAGAATGTCTGTATTAGATCTTTATTGTGGTTATGTGTCATGATATTGTATTGTGTCTGTATTCATTTAGTATTTTGTCTGCACTGAGTCTAATGGAATGTTTGTACTATATCTGCGTTGTGACTGCATGCTAGGATATTGCTTTGTGTCTGTATTAGGGGAGTGAACTAATTTCTGATTGTGGTGTTGATGTTTGACTGTATCTCCACTCCATATAAAAGTGTTTTTACTCCCATCCACAGGAATCCAGACAATGACATTCGCCCCTGGTGCCATGTAGCTCGAGGGACGGAGACAGCTTGGGAGTTCTGTGATATACCCCGATGCAGTAAGTGGCAAGGACTGATAAAACCCTGTTAAGCACTTCCTCAGCCGTACCTAACAGACCATGGATTGACAATCTTTCTTTTCACTTGCAGCTTACTGTGGTACCCGACGACCCCAACCGGCACAGTACCGCATTCTTGGAGGGAAAAGTACCCAAGCAACATCACATCCTTGGCAGGCAGCCTTCTATTTTCTGGCTAGAAAATCCTTAAATGAACACTACTTTTGTGGTGGGACTCTTATTCACAATTGCTGGGTGCTGTCTGCTGCACATTGCTTTACTGAGAGGTGAGTTGTAGTGTCTTACGCACTTTAATAGTCTCTTGATATCATTCCGAGTTACAATGTAGTACAATAACAACCTGGTTTACACTCTGTCTTCTATATTCTTTCAGAATTCCCAACAGTCGGATGCGTGTTATATTGGGTCGTTCTATGCGGAGTGTACCAGCAGAAGAGGAACAGAAATTCTTTGTCGAGCAGTTGATTCTCCACCCTGATTTTGATGCAACATCCTTTGATAATGATATAGGTAAGGAGAGAAGAAAGGGATGTCAACTGTTCCCTCTTACACTCTCCCACTGACATTTACATAAGTCTTTAATTTCTAGTGTGTCAGTCATTATTAACTAAACACTGACTTTTTGTGAATTAAATCCGAATTTAAAAAAATGAGGCAAAAAGTAATCAATGATTCTCCAACTCAGCCATTGTCTTAAAGGAACACTGTAGGCACTTGAACAACTTCATCTTATTGAGGTAGTTATAGTGCCTTCAGTCCTGCCCGCACCCCCTCAAAACCCTTTATTTAACTAATTAGAAAACTTGAAGCCACACCACCAAGTGCTCTTGGTATGAGAACTGAGAAACGTACTTTCCGGGTCTCATACTATAACATAACGTAATGCCACGCGTGCAAGCATCGTGCCATCACGGTCTGTCATTGAGAATCATTGTATTCAGTGAGTCTCAATGGCAGAATCTTAGGCACATCGCAGAAAGCACCACATATGCCCCTCTTCTACAACGAGCATTGGATTGGCCTGTCATGCTGGAGGCACAGCCATCACTCGAGGAGGGGGTTGTGGCAGCACTAAGGGAGACTGCGCTGGAAAAAAAACGGAGTAGTTTGTTTGTTTTGTTTAAATTGGATGGGGGGTAAAATAAATAGCTGCATTAGGACTGTAGCGCTAGGAATACATACTTCATGAAAATTCAGTTTAGTGAATATACATGAAAATATTGTGCTAGATTTACGTTAGAACATGCTCCTTTGGTTGTAACCATTAAGTTTCTCTGCTGTCTTCTAAACTGATTTCATTATGTATAGAATGTCTTTAAATGTCTGTCATTTCCCTGTCCTCTCTTTTCTCCAAGCTGTGCTAAGGGATTTCATTGTTTCCTGGTAAGTTCTCTATATCACCCAGATATACTCCTAGCTAAAAATGTGCCTTTCCTGTCCCACACCTTTTTCTCCTGCAATTTTTGCCTCAATTTCCCTGTAGCGACCCCACAGATCATTTCTTATCTTTTCCCTCTAGCACTGATCAAGCTCCGGTCAGTCTCTGGAACATGCGCCACAGAAACAGAACGCATTCGACCTGCCTGTCTCCCTGAGCCAGGACTTTCCTTACCAGACTGGACTGAGTGTGAGATGTCTGGATTTGGGAAGACAGAGGAATGTAAGGACTACACTTTCAGCTGTGTCTCCATTGAACCTTCTACTTTTATCCCGTACTCGACCCTATTGTTTTACCCTATAATGTACACACTATAGCCCATATAATACTCATTATAGTAATGGATGCTGGTCAGTAGGAACAGGTGGGGCACTGGTCCCCAGTTGTATTGCAATAAAATATATGTATTGTAGGACAACAGTAGACTAATAATAAGTGTATGTTAGAAAAAGAAACACGTTGTGTATGTAATTCTGCAAGTGCAGCAATTTCCTCTGTTCTTGAACAAATGCCATTGTCCGGGTATAGACCCACCTAGACATGCATTGATTGCTTTAACTGAATTTCTGACATCCCCCGTTGGCTTTGCATTGGGATCTTGGATTCTGGGCACCCTAAAAGACAGGCCTGTGTATTGTCCCGTCTTGTACAGCTGTCATTGGGTAACAGCCTCACAGGTGTGGGGAGAGAATGAGACCTCTGTAAAGTAATTACTGCTTGCCAAATACATGTTTCTATAGGTTTATGACCTTGAACAGGGTATGAACCCTCTTAAAGTCAAGAGTTGAGTACATGAGGGTAAATGGGCAGAGCCCAACAAGTCAGGGGAAAATTCTGTAAGTAGAGTCTAGCACCCTAACAACTTCATCACTACCACTTTTCAGTTATCTCCATTTTACGCCACAATGTATCCACTTAATTAATTAATTAATTAATGTTATTGCATATCATACTCTCCACCTCTTAGCCATTCTAGGGTCACCATAAATAATGATATATACTTACCCACAGGGGCATGTGTCCTTGAAAGTCCATCATGGCACTGTAAATGTGCATTTATTAAAGGGAAACTATGGTGTAAAAGGGACCCTTATTTCTATTGCATTATGTAGCTAATGCAATACTAAATACTGCAAAAAATAGTTTCCAGCTGAATCGCTCTTTAGTGGTTACCTGAAATTACTGCAGTACCCCTCAATAACTGGAAGAGCATCTTCTTATAGTCTGTGGGGTGCCTTCTTTTACTGCCTGCCTTATCCTATTATGCCCCACAGAAGTTTATCCCTAAAAAGCAGTTCCACTCATTACATTAGATGAGTGGAACTGACATACAAACTAAAATCAATCATACTGCAGCTGTAATCAGTTTACATTCTTCAGTGAATATGAATAAGATTTACCACATGCTCTGGCCACAGACACATAAATTAGCTAGATTTTCCACCACTTCTAAAGTATAGCAATGCCCAGTTAATATGCATAGTACTGATGCATGCTTATTCTGCCTGTCTTTCATTCCTAGTCTCACCTTTCTATTCTGATCGGCTGAAGGAGGGTCACGTCAGGCTCTATCCTGACAAAATGTGCACTTCAGAACGTCTAGCAAACCGAACAGTCACCGCAAACATGCTGTGTGCAGGTGACACCCGGAACATAGATGATGCATGCCAGGTGAGCTATAAGATATTTTAAAGAGCTGCTGGTGCTATAGAAAATAAGTATGAAGAGGTGTTAAGGAGGATGACTATATGAGGCAGACGTGTAAGTAGTCTCTAATAATACCTGGGATTTTAGTATAAAACAAAACATGATGTCACATCCCCAACCTTGGCTCCTTTCAAATTCTACACCTGATAGATGCAGGCACTTCCTTCCACCGCTGGCATCCATTGTGCTAGTGTGTGCAAGTGACTGACGTTATGGAGCAAGAGGCCTAGTTTAATCCTCTATCACGTTGTGATAGTGCAGAGGTACTATACACTCCATCACAGGACTCCGTGTTCACCAGAATTATGCACAATCTTCTGTATAGCAACCACATAGCTTACATGCATCCATATAAATAATATTAATGTCATAAAATCCATCCAACATTCAGCAGCTATATAGATAGCATTAAAATCACAACACCCATCTAGCACAGACCAACCTTATAGATTGTTTTAAATCACAGAACCCATCTAATATACTCTGTTTGCATCATTTCAGCTTGGAGGAAACGTACTATTTCATTTTGTTTATTTTCTAAAAATGCAAAGAGCACTGAATGATTTTGGGTGTGGGGGGGCGAAGGGGGCTTTACATGTATGGCCCGTGTTATATAAAACTTTCTCCTCATTTCATACTCCATTAGGGCCTTATTAGAGGTTTATAAAAGAATATACAAGAAAGTAGTATGATGATATCCTACCTCAATTTACATTACCTCAAGCACTTCTGTCAGTGAATTTGAAGTATTTGAAGCAGCAGGACTTTGAGTTTGTGCGTTGTTGGCAATCCCTAGTTCTCAAATCATTGTTGATGCCACACTCCATTGTTGCCATCAGACTACTGGTCATCCTTATGTGATGGAAAAGTTCTTCACATTTTATGACAGATTATTCTGTGTCCGAGGTGACCAGCAGGCTGTAGACCAAGGGCATGGATGGTGACTGAAGTTAAAACAATGAACACCTGGTGGTGCTATAGACCCTAAAGCCCTCTGACCAATGATATGGGCTACTAGGAGAATTGAGTATGAGTGATTTTATAGGGAGCAATACGCCTTATATGAAGCAGTTGTGAGAAGTAGAACTTTGTAAAGAGTTGGAGGACCCATGGGGAAGGTTAATCTCCAGGAATAGGTAGAGTTATAAACTATTCTATCATTTTAACCATAATATTTAGATTATAACCTGCAATGATAAATAGTTGTCCCATACAACATGTGTGATTCAAAATATATCATGACCTGGGACAGATAGATGTACTTGGAGAAGTATTTCTGATCATTAAAATGTTTCTCTCTTATCCTCTACAGGGTGACTCTGGTGGACCTTTAGTCTGTCCTCATGATGACCGCATGCATGTACTTGGAGTCATCAGCTGGGGAGTTGGGTGTGGGAAAAAAGATACTCCAGGGGTTTACACTCGCGTGACCCGATTTATGGACTGGATACAGAAACACACTGGCATCTGAAAATGCTGAAAGGAGATGCACACATACTTGAACCACTATGTGAAGCTCTGAAGAGCCATCAAACCAAAGGCTTATGGATAATTCCACCTGCACTTCTTAGTCATTCCACTTTATTGTCAGTCATACCAGCTTGCTTATCTCTTCTAGCTGGTATTAGGGCAGTAGATACATACGTTAAGTTATATTATGTTATGTATTAAAAGGTCAAGTGTTATACCACCATGTGAAAACTGGAGGAAAAAAAACAACTCAGCAGTCGAGTTGAACCACAAAGAATTCTCAAGAGACCACATTTAGTGGTATATGTGCCACCAGAAATAATCAATTTGGATATCATGTGGGCTAAGCAAATCATTAGAATGACTACTTATAAAGTGCTAATATATTCTACAGCGCTGTACTATAGGTGGATGAAACCACTAATACAACAAGACACATTTTCTTTACATGAACAGATGTGTTGGGGACTCAAATGAGCTTACAGTAATTGGAGGTTTGGCATTAAAATGTTTTGGTTTTTTCTGTAGTAGCTACCTGTTTGCTATCTGTGAACCAATTCATGGAGAGTGTTGACTTCTTCAGCAGTGACTGGGCAAAAAGGAACAATTACTTTGTATTATCTGAAGTTAAACCCTAACCTTGACTACCAGCAACAGCGGCTCTACTGATAAATAAAAATACTAAATGTAAAATAAATACTTATTTATGACACTCTCCTGTATTATACCTTCAGATTGTGATTCTTGTACACAGACTCATATCCAGGTCCATTTATTATATTGACAAATATACATATTAGTGTAAAACTACAATATAAAAATCATAGCAAAGAATGTGAAAGTGTTTGGATGCCCTTGCACCTGCAAAGTTTTCAATGAGATGTGTTGTGAGAAAGGCATTCTGGGTAGTAATGGTGTCAATAGCTCAGACACTACATAGCAGCCTTCACTCTTAGCCAATGGGGCCAATGTCCAGAGCACAGCTAAGTATAGTTATGAACACAGGTAATTATTTAATTGTTAATTAAAATGGAACCTTTCTCCAATGACTCATTAATATCCTCACAAACCCAGCAAACTTTGAGGAAAAAAAACTATACCAAACATATCATCTGGTACATACCTTTTTGCTGCCAATTATATAACTTTTTGTAGGTCCTCTGGAAGGAATAATAGCAATTGTGACATATATTTAAAGTTTTATTTAACTTTTTACATTTGATATTTATGTGTATTTATATTTGTTTGTATAGCTATTTCTCATAAATATAATTTGTAGTTTTGATCAGTTTATTTATATCTACAACGTACTATGAAGGCTACAGGTTAAATTTAACAGTTTTGCCAACTGGACCCGTATAATTGCACGTTGTATGGTTTGATTATCTGTATCCTCTGATTTCATTTTTTTACAGCGATATATAGATTATACGTACTATCTGACAAACGTTCCACTACTTCATTAATTCTATTGGGAAACCAGAGACATGTACACTGGCCACTGAGACTGCAAAGATGTGCAACTAATGAAGTCTAAGCTGATTTAAATGCAATAAGAAGTGACGTCGTGGGCAACTTGAAAATAATGACTTAGAACCTTTGAATTCTAAACCTATATAAAACGCACCAGGATACCAGTTTTTGGCTTGAACATCATTTGCTAGTGTTCAGAGAGCCATGTGTATAATGCTAGCAAACCATAATATATTTTTAATATACACATGTTTGTATTGCAATAAAAAAATTGATTCTAGACAATCTGTACTAAAGGGTTATCTTTTATATTATTCTATCTTAAATAAGGATTTGTTCTAGAATATATATGTAACAATGAAAAGGTTGCCCATTCTATCTTTTGCACTATAAAGAAAGTATTTGATTTGGACTATGTCAGTTAAAAAAAATCTGACTATTTTATGATTTCAGTCTTCACTTCGGTTAAGAATTGTTCAGTGCTCTATAGGTGTGAATAAGTACTATGAATTGACTCCTATATGATACAGGAAGCCAATATAATGACTGCCAGAGGGGTGAGTTGTGAGAGAAGCGACTGGAGAGGAAAATCAGTCTAGCAGCAGCATTTATTACAGACTGTTGCGGGGCAGTACAGCTCCTGGTAAGACCAATTAGGAGAGGGTTACAATAATCCATGCTAGAGATTAGTAGAGTATGAACAAGCTCCATAGTAGTGTCTAATGTAAGAAAGGGGTGGATGCAGGAAATGCTTTTAAGGTGGAATAGACATAATTTGGTAACAGAATGGATATGAGGCCAGAATCAAATATAATGCCAAGACAGCATGCTTGCAAAGATGGGCTGATGTGGGTGCCACTAACTTGAAGGGAGAGAAGTTCAGTTTTAGAGAGATTGAGTTTCAGAAAACGGGAGGACATCCAATCAGAGATGGAAGAAAGGCAGTGACATGTTGCAGGGGAGAGATCTGGGCAGGGGAGATATATCTGGGTGTCATCCGTGTACAGATGGTAGTGGAATCCAAATGAGGTAATAAGTTTGCCAAGAGAGGCAGTATAAAGAGAAAATAGAAGGGGACCAAGAACAGAGCCTTGGGGTCTCCAACCAAGAAGGACGAAGGGAGGAGATACCATTAGAAAAGGAGACACTGAATGAGCATTGGGAGAGATAGGAGGAAAACCACGAGAGGACAGTGTGAAGAATCCCCCTCCATTCATTCGGTACTTTCCCTCCCTGCTACTTTATTCATGGATTTATTACTGTGACGAAGTGCCCTTCACCACTTGTGCCTGGAGAGGACTGCTTGCCCGCCTCTTGCCCTGTGACTATGGACCCTGGGAGATTTGGCCCGTTCAATTCAGTATGATAGGAGTTATGTATTTTTGTATCCTTTTGTGTTTTACTGGGAACATGTGCTCAATGGAGTCTGTCTCTATCCCTGGATAACTGGATTATTGTCCCCATTGTCTCCAGGATAGAGGGCTCTGTAAAACCGGTTTGGGCCAGATAGCCATGCTGCCAGCCAGGCCCCAAAAGATACTTTACTAACTTCTGAACCCCTGGTCTGATTCATGCCATTTTTTGATATGTTGTTTCCCTGAATGGATTGATTGTGAATATATACTTTTTATGTGAATGTGATGTATATTTTAGAAGTTATGAATATGCTGTAAAAACTGTATTTTTCCTACCAGTGATAATTACATCTTCTATTGTATAAGATAATTGAATCACAGGCAGAGGGGAGGATTTTGTGTGGGCTGTAACCTCTGTTTTATTGGCTACTGTAGATAACGTGTGTGTCCCTCCCCTGCATGGGAGCAGGGCATAAAAGAAACTGTAGCTTGAATACCTGTTGTTGTTACTTCCAGTAAAGTCTTGTTCCAGCATTAAGCTTTGGCTCATGTGTGGATTATTCGGCGATTCCGGGGAAATTTCTACTTGTGGAATATTGGGTGATTTTCTTTTATGGGAAGAAGGGAATGCTTGACGGTGATACCCTATACTACCGTCACAGACAGTGTCACAGAGACTGAGTGAAGAGTTTGGAGAGCATAGTCAACAGTGTCAAAGGCAGCAGAGAGGTCAAAAATAATTCATATGGAGTAGTAGCCTTTGGATTTAGCTGTGATTAGGTCATTAGTAACTTTAATAAGAGCAGTCTCAGTAGAGTGAGTGGAGGGGGTTGGAATTAAGAGAGCAAGCCAGACGGGTAAAGACAAGGCTTTCCGGAAGCTTTGAGGAAAAAGGGAGCAGGGATATGCGATGATAGTTAAAAGGGGAGGACGGTTCAAGAGATGTTTTTTTTAGGTTTAAGTATACTACAGTAGCATGTTTAAGGGCAGCAGGGACAATGCCATAAGAAAGAAAACAGTTGATGTGTGTTAAGGAAGGCACAAGACAAGGGGAGAGAGATCAGAAAAGGTGAGACGGACAGTATCAAGCGGGCAAGTAGTGGGGTGAGAGGAAAGTAGAAGCACAGCCACTTCTTCAGTAGCCTGGGAGAAAGTCTTAAGGGTAGGAGAGGCATGATCTAGGTGTGGTTAAGAAAGAGAGGGGCAAGGTGGCGAGAATTAGTTCCTTAGCTTTTCAATCTTTTTGGCTGGTTTGGGGGGTGGCTACAGCAGGGCAAAGAAGAAAGTTAAAGATATCAAAGAGACGCCTGGGATTGCGGGAGCATGAAGTAATAAGAGAGGAAAAGTATTACTGTTTGGCAAGGGCTAGGGCTGCAGTGTATGAAAGCAAGATTAATTTATAATGGAGAAAGTCTAAATGGGTGTGAAACTTCTTCCAGCAGCATTCAGTAGAATGGGAGTATCTCTGGAGGTAGCATGTTAATTTAGTGTGCCACGGCTGGGGGCGTGTTCTCCTCAAGGTGCACGTTTGGAGCCAGGCTGCAGCGTCCAGGGGTGAGAGTAGTGTTATATGAGGAGATAGTCAGTGAGGCACAGGAGAAAGTAGACATGGATACGAGGTGGGAATCAATATCGGCTGACAACTGCTGGAGGTTAACAGAATTCAGGTTTCCCCTGAGTTGAGGGGATTAGGCTGAGGTTGTTGGGTGATGGGGCTCTCGAGAGTAAATGATAAGAGGTGATGATTTGAGAGAGGATATGGAGTGTTGCAGAGATTAGAGACTGTACATGCATAAGAGAAAATAAGATCGAGGGTATTGCCAGCTACATGGGTGGGAGAATTGGCACACTGCATTAGTGTAGCAGAGTGAACGTTGTTATACCCTTTTTCATTCCCTTTGTTCAGCTGTCCGTAAACTCCCGTTCGTTTACCGAACCCCATCTGTGTAGTCTCTGGGTTCGCATCATTTAATAACCGACCACCCCTGGCTGCTAACCACAAATTGCTTGTTAAAGAAAGTGTTTCCCCTGTGTGGCCGCCGTTCGTATTAACGAACGCACGTGTGCAAACAGATGGCCATTTTGTCTCTCGAAAGTGGGCAGCGGTACATGGTCCTCGACAACCTGTAACTAATTTTGGCTACTCTACTACGCGAACATCTGGCAAACTGATACTGCTGCCCATTCAACTTCCCAAACCAGTAGGAGAACGGCGTTCGGGAGACCTAAACTACCGAACAGGGGGAACATGTGTATGCTAGCAGCCAGGGGGAGCTTTCATTTGCGTTCATGTGAGAACTCCAGAAAGAAGACCGGTCGAAGCCTAAATTTTTCTGGAACTGTTTTGGGGCTTCACCTCATGGCCGACCGGTCCAAACTTCACTTGAATGGCATTCCTAAACTACCAAACAGATCTGAGTGATATTTTGACAAAGTGGGCGCTCAGATCCCAGCTATTCTGTGGGGCTCTGAAATATTAAAATGTGTTTTATGCTGTTTATAAATATTGTATATTTTCTGTACCTGGGAGATAATTTAATTAAAGAGTTGTCCTTACTCAATTAGGTCCCAGGCACAGAGGAGGAGTCTGTGAAATGTTGATTTGTCTCTTGTCCCCACTCAGGTACACCAGGGGAAAACCACTGGAATATGATTTAAGAAACCCCTTGCATGGGGAGTTGCATAAAAGCCAGCTGTGGCTGAATAAAAATCAGTTGACTCCCAGAACTGTGTGTCATCCAGTTACTGGGGGGATTGTGCCTTGGATATCTTATTGCTTCCTCAGTTACAAAGATTCTACAGCGGAGATATTTATGCTGAATATTGGAGCTCCACTACAATTAGCTCAAGGGAGGACGTAATTGAAAGTAGTTTTGATGCTTCTGAGGTCAAGGGTGGGACTGGGAATGTTGAAGTCCCTGAGAATTAGAGATGGAATATTAGAGGAGTGGAAGTAGGAAAGTCAGGCAGCAATGTGGTCAAGGAAGAGGTGAAGGGAACCAGGGGGGTGGTAAATAATGGCAATGTTAGCAGAGATGGGTTTGGAAAGGAGGATCGAATACATTTCAAAAGAGGAGAAAGAGATTGAAGTGGGGGTGGGTAGAGGTTTGAAGGAGCAGTGACGCGAGAGCAGAAACCCTACACCACCACCTTTACTTTCATAGTGTCTTGGGTTGTAAGTTGAAAACCACCAAAGGATAAAGATGCAGGGGTAGCGGTGTCAGAGGGGGAGACACATGTTTCCGTTAAGGCTAGTAGGTCTAGGGAACGAGAGATGAAAAGGTCGTGGACAGCAGAGGATATGGTACTGTTGGAAACAGAGCATGCATTCCAGAAGGCAGTGTGGAATGAGAATTTTAAGGGAGAGTATGTAATAAATTCCGCTTCTTCTGTGTCTTTTACCAGTTGATTGAAATAATTATTTTATGTATATTTCTTCTTGGGTAAAAGGCTTGCCATGTTAATATACGTCTATACAGGGCTGCCATCAGAAATTTTGGGGCCCCTGACACAGCTCAAGGTCTGAGCCCCCCGGTGCCTGCACCCGAGTCCGCCCAAAGTGCTGCTCCCCCACCCGAGTCTGCCCACAGGGATGCAGTGTCTGCAGGGCCGGTGCAAGGATTTTTGCCGCCCTAGGCAAAAGTAAAGTTTGCCGCCCCACCCATATGATCTGCCATGTTAAAGGACCACTCTAGGCACCCAGACCACTTCAGCTTAATGAAGTGGTCTGGGTGCCAGGTCCAGCTAGGGTCAACCCATTTTTTTATAAACATAGCAGTTTCAGAGAAACTGCTATGTTTATAAATGGGTTAAGCCTTCCCCTATATCCTCTAGCGGCTGTCTCATTGACAGCCGCTAGAGGCGCTTGCGTGCTTCTTACTGTGAAAATCACAGTGAGAACACGCAAGCGTCCATAGGAAAGCATTATGAATGCTTTCCTATGAGACCGGCGGAATGCGGGCGCAGCTCTTGCCGCGCGTGCGCATTCAGCCGAATGGGAGGAGAGGAGGAGGATCAGAGGCGGAGAACTCCCCGCCCGGCGCTGGAAAAAGGTACGTTTTAACCCCTTTCCTCTCCCCAGAGCCGGGCGGGAGGGGGACCCTGAAGGTGGGGGCACCCTCAGGGCACTATAGTGCCAGGAAAACGAGTATGTGTAAAACAGGCTCTCTGGAGGCGGTTTGTAACTGTGGTCACAAAAATCAATGTTCTAGGAGAACGGGAAGCAGCTCCATTTTTTGAGGGCCCTTTACACAGCTCCAGGTCTAGGTCCCAGGGTCCACCTTCATGTTCCACCAATGAGTTTGTTCACAGGGGGTGGAGTGTGTGTGTGGGGGATGTCCTGATGTGTGTAAGGAATGCATTGTGTGAATTTGTGTTTGTATGTGTAAGGGCTGCAAGGTGAGTTTGTATATGTATGGGATGCAGTGTGTGCGTCTGTAAGGGATGCATTGAGTGTGTGTAAGGGGTGCATTGTGTGTTGCTGTGTGTAAGGGATGCATTGCTTGTGTATGTGTGTCTGTGTGTAATGCATTGTGTTTTTTTCTGTGTGCAAGGGGTGCATTGTGTGTGTGTGTGTTTGATGGATGTCAATCTCTCCCCCCCGTCAATTTCCTTCTCCCCCTCCCCCCGTCAATTTCCTTCTCCCCCCCTCTCCAATTACCTTCTCCCCCTCTCCAATTACCTTCTCCCCCTCCCTCTCCAATTTCCTTCTTCTCCCCCTCCCTCTCCTTCTAATTTCCTTCTTCTCCCCCTCCCTCTCCCTCCAATTTCCTTCTTCTCCCCCCCTCTCCAATTTCCTTCTTCTCCCCTCAATTTCCTTCTTCTCCCCTCTCAATTTCCTTCTTCTCCCCCCTCTCCAATTTCCTTCTTCTCCCCCTCCCCCCGTCAATTTCCTTCTCCCCTCTCCAATTTCCTTCTTCTCCCCTCCTCTCCTTCTTCTCCCCCCTCTCCAATTTCCTTCTTCTCTCCCTCCCTCTCCAATTTCCTTCTTCTCCCCCACCCTCCAATTTCCTTCTTCTCCCCCTCCCTCTCCAACTTCCTTCTTCTCCCCCTCCAATTTCCTTCTTCTCCCTCTCTCTCTCATTTCCTTCTCCCCTCC